CAGCGCCCCCCCCCCCCACCAGACACAAAATAAACAAAAAGATATTATAAAAAAACAATAGTTTTGTTTTTTTGTGTAGTTCTGGAGGGGGGGGCGCGCCAGGGAGAAAAAAAAAAGGGAATGCGACGTGACCACATCTGCTCTCCCCCTGGAAGGATTCCTATTGGACGCCCCCATAAGAAGGATTCACAGTAAAATCCTCGACAGAAGGGTTCCTATCGAAACCCTCCACTGAATGATTCCTACCAAAATCCTCCACATGTGGATTCCTACTGAAACCCTCAACTGAATGATTCCTACTGAAATCCTCGAATGGCAATGGCAATGGCAATGGCAATGGCAATGGTAATGGTAATGGTAATGGTACTGGTAATGGTACTGGTAATGGTTACGGTAATGATACTGGTAACGGGGTAGCGAGGCAATGACAATGGCAATGGCAACGGTAATGGTAATGTTAATGGCAATGGCAATGGCAATGGGAATGGCAATGACAATGGCAATGGCAATGGCAATGGTAATGGCCATGGCAATGGTAATGGTCATGGTAAGGGTCGAGGTATAGGTAGAGTTAAAGGTAATGGTAATGGTAATGGTACTGGCAATGGCAGTGGTAATGGTAATGGTAATGGTAATGGGGATGGAAGTGGGAATGGGAACGGGAACGGGAATGGAAATGGTATTGGTAGTGATAATGGTAATGGCACTGGTAATGGTAATGGTTAATGGCAGCGGTAGTATCTTGGTAATGGGAGTGGGAGTGGAAATGGTATTGGCAATGGCAATGGCAGTGACGAATGTCAATGGCAATGGTGATGGTAATGGTAATGGTAATGACAGAAGTAATGGTACTGGTACTGGTAATGGTAACGGTAATGGTAATGGTAAGGGGGTAGCGATTGGCAATGGCAATGACAATGGCAACGGTAATGGTAATGACAATGGCAATGAGATTGGCAATGGCAATGACAATGATAATGGCCATGGCAATGGCAATGGTAAGTGTAATGATACTGGCAATGGTAATGGTAATGGGAACGGGAATGGGAATGTGAATGGGAATAAGAAGGGAACGGGAATGGAAATGGTAGTGGTAGTGGTAACGGAAATGGGAATGATAAGGGTAAGGGTAAAGGTAAAGGTAGATGCAAAGGTAATGGTAATGGAAATGTTAGTGATAATGGTAATGGTAATTGTAATGGTAATGGTCATGAGAATGGGAATGGCAATGGAAATGGTACTGGCAATGGTAATGGTAGTGGCTAATGGCAATGGCAATGGCAATGCGAATGGTAATGGTAATGACAGAGGTAATGGTAATGGTACTGGTAATGGTTCTGGAAATTGTAATAGTATTGGGAATGGGAATGAGAATGGGAACTCTAATGGTAATCGCAGCGGTAGTATCATGGTATTGGGAATGGGAGTGGAAATGGTACTGGCAATGGCAATGGTAGTGACGAATGTCAATGGCAATGGTGATAATAATGACAGAGGTAATGGTACTGGCAGTGGTAATGGTAACGGTAATGGTAATGGTAAGGGGGTAGCGATTGGCAATGGCAATGACAATGGCAACGGTAATGGTAATGACAATGATATTGGCAATGGCAATGGCAATGATAATGGCCATGGCAATGGCAATGGTAAGTGTAATGATACTGGCAATGGTAATGGGAATGGGAACGGGAATGGGAATGTGAATGGGAATAAGAAGGGAACGGGAATGGAAATGGTAGTGGTAGTGGTAACGGAAATGGGAATGATAAGGGTAAGGGTAAAGGTAAAGGTAGAGGTAAAGGTAATGGTAATGGAAATGATAGTAATAATGGTAATGGTAATGGTAATGGTAATGGTCATGAGAATGGGAATGGCAATGGAAATGGTACTGGCAATGGTAATGGTAGTGGCTAATGGCAATGGCAATGGCAATGCGAATGGTAATGGTAATGACAGAGGTAATGGTAATGGTACTGGTAATGGTAACGGTAATGATACTGGTAACGGGGTGGCGACTGGCAACGGCAATGACAATGACAACGGCAACGGTAATGGCAATGGCAATGGCAATGGGAATGGCAATGGTAATTGCCATGGCAATGGTTATGGCAATGGTAATGGCAATGGTAATGTGAATTTGAATGGGAACGGGAATGGGAATGTGAATGGGAATGGGAACGGGCATGTAAATGGCAGTGGTAGTGGTAACGGAAATGGGAATGGTAAGGGTAAGGGTAAATGTAAAGGTAGAGGTAAAGGTAATGGTAATGGCAATGGCAGTTGTAATGGTAATGGTAATGGCAATGGTATTGGGAATGGGAATGTTAATCGGAATGGTAATGGTACTGGCAACGGTAATGGTAGTGGCGAAGGGCAATGGCAATGGCAATGGTAATGGTAATGGTAGTGGCGAATGGCAATGGTAATGGTAGTGGCGAATGGCAATGGTAATGGTAATGGCAATGACACGGGTAATGATAATGGTACCGGGAATGGTAATGGTGACGATAACGGTAATGGTAATGGTTTTGGCAATGGTAACGGGGTAGCGATTGGCAATGGTAATGGGAATGGCAACGGCAACGGCAATGGCAATAGCAATGGCCATGTCAATGGTAATGGTCATGGTCATGGTCATGGTAATGGTAATGGTAAGGGTAAAGGTAATGGTAATGGTAATGGGAATCGTAGTAGTAATTGGAACGGGAACGGGAATGGAAATGGTAGTGGTAGTGGGAAAGATAATGGCAATGGTAATGGAAATGTTACTGGTAACGGTAATGGTAATGGCAATGATGATGGGAATGGGAATTGTAATGGTGATGGCAGCGGGCGGTAATGGTAATGGTAATGGCAATTGTGTTGGTAATGCTAATGATAATGGCAATGGTAATGGTGGTGGCGAATGGTAATGGTAATGGGAATGGTAATGGTAACGGTAATGGTAACGGGGTGGCTACTGGCAATGGCAATATCATGGCAATGGCAACGGCACTTGCAATGGCAATGGCAATGATAATGGCAATTGGAATGGAAATGGTAATGGCACTGGCAATTGTAATGGCAATGGTAATGGTAATGGTACAGGTAAAGGTAAATATAAAGATAAAGGTAATGGTAATGGTAACGGTAATGTGAATGGGAATGGGAATTGGGATGGGAATGGTAATGGTAATGGTATTGGGAATGGGAATGGACTGGGAATGGGAGTGGGAGAGATTGAGAGAGAGAGAGAGAACAAAACAAAAAACGAGAAAGGACACATCAACATAATGATGAGGAACAAACTGAAATATCGTAAATTTTCGTCTAAAACCCACAGCGACTCCACAATCCCCCGGCCTCTCCTCCTCCTCCTCCGCCTCCGCCTCCGCCTCCGCCTCCTCCTCCTCCTCCTCCTCCTCCTCCTCCTCCTCTTCCCTTCTCCTCTCCTCCCCCGCCCTCCCCTCCCCTCTCCTCTCCTCCCTTCTCCTCCTCCTCCTCCTCGCCGTGAGGCGAGGAGGAGGGGGAGCAAGATGAGGAGGAGCAGCAGCAGCCGCCAGCAGGCGCGGAGGGGGAGGAGAGGAGAGGGGAGGGTGGGCAAACTGCAGGCGCTCGCGCTCCGTCTGACATCCTGCCCCTCCCGCTGCCCACTGCACTGGCTTTTCTGTATTCAGCGACGGGTGTCACAGCGGCACTGGAGCTCCCAAAAGGACAACGTCGTGTGACGCGCAATCGGGAAAGGCGAGCTGCGCCCATTGGAGGAGAAAGTGGCGGATGGGCTCGAGGATTGGGTTGTGCTTCTCCAGTATACGTCGAACGTGCCAGCTGTGTTGAGCTGGAGGATGAGCATGAGGAAGAGGAAGGAGGAGGACAAGGATGAACAGCAGCAGCAGCAGGAACACGAGTGGGAGGAGCGGGAGAAAGAGGACAAGGGGACGGCGGAGGAGGGGAACGGAGCATGGGAGATAACGACGAGGAAGGACTCCGATCCAGAAATCAGGCCCGCGCTGGGGCGAGAGCGCCACTCTGCAAAAAGACGGGAGCAGAGCGCCGATCCTGAAGTGAGGCCATCGGTGCAGCGGGAGATCCATCTTCAAACACCGAAAACCATCGGATTGGAAACTCAAGAGGCAAGTGTCAACTCGGCACCATCCTGTTCCTCCCTCGTGCTGCTCCTGCGTCCCGTCTCCTGCACATCCCTCTTCCTGCTTCCCCTCCCTCCTCCCTCGTCCTCCTGCTCCCGCGGCCCTCCTGCCCTCTCCAGCGCCTCCTCCCTCCCCCTACCTCCTTGTCGTCCTGCTCGTGCGCGCCTCCCTCCCCTCCCTGACCTCCTCAGGCTGCTGCCGCTCCCGCAGGAGTGGCAGGCAATGGGACGATGGATGAGAAGGGACGAGGAGGAGGGGGGACGGGGAGGAAGGGGGGAAACACTGCGCAAAACTGACCGCGTGCAGCACAGTCTTCACAACTTGCACAACTGAAGCAATGCGGAGCCAGGGCGCGACGCGCGACGCGGTCGCAGCTCTCGGGCGTCTGAAAAATCGGTGGGGCCGATCGTGGATCAGCGCTGCTTCACCTGGGGCCCGCCCATGGTGGTGTCAATGCGCTTGTCCATGAGGTCCCAGTTCACCTTCTCGAACATGGTGTCCACCTCAGAGCGCTTGGCAACCAACAGTGGGCGCTTGCCGTACGGCACGGAGGTGTACAGCTGCACCGCCAGGCCACCAGGGCTCATGTCCGCGGCCAGCCAGACCCAGCCCTTTCCGTCGTCCATCACCTTCTGGGTCTCGTCGCTCCCAGGGCCGCCCTTGACGACGTGCTTGCCCAGCTTCATCTGCTCCTTGAGGCCCGCAATGCCGACTGCAATGTCCCTCTTGCCGATCCCCCCGGGGGGCGGGCCCTTCCACTGGCCGCTGTAGCGGGTGAACGTGCCCCTCTCGTCCCACACCCCGTGGAAGTGCTTGACGATGAGCTCCGCCGCGATCGTGCCCTTCGGGGGGTCGCCGCCGTTGCCCGAGATCGTCTCGTCGTAGAACGCCTGGATGTCGGCATCGCTGACGTCGTACTCGCCGCCGCCGCGCGCGGCGAGGGCCACCCGCCCCCGCGCGGTGGCCACCGAGGCGGCGGGGCGCGCCGAGGGCGCGGGCGCCACGAAGGCGCCCGGCAGGAGGTAGAGCCCGAGGGCGGCCGCGAGGCAGGCCGGCAGCGCGGTGCCGCGGAGGGGCGCCATGGCGGCAGAGGCGCGCAGGCGAGCGGCGCGCTTCCGGGTGCGAGGAGGGGGTGTGCAGTCGAGGCGCTGACCCAAGGAACCCTGACCAAGGAACGATGGCACCCCTTTTTTCCACGAGTCGAACTGCGACTTCCCATCGAACACTCGAGGACAACCGCAGGCAAACGGTGAAACAGGGAAGGAGCACGGAGCCCCTCCCCAACGAGAGGGGTTCCTTCTTCAGCGCCCCGACTGCATCGACATCCACCGCTCGTGGAACCGAAGTCCTGGGACCCCAGCGGGCGGCGGATATGGATCTGGACGCCCGAAATGGGTACGGAAACAAGTGCGCACAATGCCCAACAACAAATGCTGCCCCGAACCAACAGTGGCCGCCGTTGGGCAGGCGAGGCCTTCTGTCTCGAATGGACACAGGCCGCGGCGGCATAGACAGCGAGTCCTGCTCAAAATGAACAGGAACTGCTGTTGGGCATTGTCCCCATTCTTTCCGTACAGGACAGCTTTTAATACGTAGGATGTTTCAAAACATATGTTTTCAATACATGGTTCGTTTATGAATGCAGTTATGCATGAGCTCATCGTTGTTTTTGATACTAAATCCCTGCATTCTTCATACATGATCCGCACGCGGAGCATGTACTAACACGCAGATCATGCATAAAAAACGGCACTGCATCCATTTCGTTCGGGCCGAATGTCGGGAGCAGCCAAAAGGGGGGTGTCCAAGAGGGGGGGGTGCAAATCATGACCGGCGGCATGTGCGCGGCCCAGCAGGGGGGCCAGGGACGTAATGAAATAAGAAGAGGCGCCATGAAATCTGAGGAGATGTCATGGCCCCCGCCACGAGATCCACCCCCCCTAGTCATCACCCCCCTCTTTTCCGCCCCCGAGAATGGATTTGCTTCGGCGCCAGGGGGGCACGGCTAGATCCACATTTGGTAGTCCCCAAACGTGGTGGTGACAACACCTGGCGGTGAGTCTCGGGCGATTTGGTGTCACCACCCGGTTTGGGGACTCGTGCAATTTTCCGAGGATGTCCCGGACACTGGTGGGTCCAGGAGTCACAGAACCCGGTGGTGACCCCGCGTCCCCAAACCCAGCGGTGAACTTTTCTGGGATTCCAGGTCGCCACCTGGTATCTCACCACCCGGTTTGGGGGTTCCCAACACACATCCACCGCGTGCCCGGGCCGCCGGAGATCGCTCCTCCCCGGGCAGCGGCTGTGGATGGATCCCCGCCTCGGCTCGAGAGGGCCCCGCCTCCGCTCGAGAGAGAGGCTGCGGCGGGCGCGGAGGGGGAGGGGGAAACCAACACATACCGATACAGTCGGGGCGTTGACCTCAGGAACCCAAAATAAGGAACGAGGGAGGCCCCTTTTGTTCATAAGTTGACCTTCGACGTCCCCTCGAAAACGTAAGGGCAACCTTGGGCTAGGTGTGGAATGCTAAAGGAACGCCGAGCCCCTCCCCAACGAAAAGGGTTCCTTCTTCAGCGCCCCGACTGTACACCGCTGCCCCCCCCGGATCTCTCCCGGGGTGCGTTCTGGCCAGAACTGCGAGGCGAATCCAGCGGTGGCGGCGAGGGCCTCTCGGGGGGCCCAAACAGGGGAAAACGGCCGAAGGGTAGAGGTATGGGTACCTTTGCCTCCTCTGAGGGGAGGGAGCAGGGACGAGGGGAACGAGAAGGGGGGTGGGGGGCTGGCTCAGGGGAGAAAGGATCGAGCTCGGATCGGCGATACATCCCCGGTAGACGGGCGGTATGCTCGGCGCTGGACAAAGCTCTCTTTAGTGAACCACCCTTTGGTGAAAACGGCCTAGGGCCGACAACGACGGACCTGGACCCGCACCTCCCGCGAACCGAAAACGGCCAATTCGCCAATCGACGCGTCAGGCTAGGAGGCCTATCACCCTCCGATCCGCCCCCGACGGCGACACCGCGCGTTCCTGGGCGGGGCGGGCCAGCGGGCCCCCCACTGAAGAGGAGGATGAGCGGCTGTTGGGGGTTGACGCACGTTACCCTTGCAGAGGGGACGGGGATGAGGGGGGGGGGCGGCGGGGGGGGATCCAGGATCGGGGCGGGGGGGGAGGGGGAGGGGGCGATGGGGGGACGGGAATAAGGAGTGGGAGGGGGCGGTGGGGAGGGGGGAGGCATGGTTCGGGGCTCCTCTGACCAGGGTCAATCCAGACCCAGGTCAGTCAGGCCTTGCAGAATCCTGCAAAATCCTGCCAGATCCTGCACCCAAGCCCGGGTCAATGCGCAGGATCCTGCAGGATCCTGCAGGATCCTGCACCCAGACCCGGGTCAATGCCAGTCTGGCCCTGCAGGGTCCTGTAAAATTGGGGGGGGTGGCTGACCCTCGTTTGCATTGACCCTCTTCTCGAGGCTCCCGAAAGATCAACCAGCCTCGAGCCGGGAATCCGGATACTCGGAATGTGCGTCGGATCGGCTCGCGCCGGCACTTAGTCAGAATCGAATCGGCCACGCCAGGATGCGCAGCAACGCCCATGAAAATATCGGGGCTGCATCAGATCGTCGGCCCGGGTCGGCCGCGCAGGCGGGGCAGGGACGGGAAAGGAGGAGGGCCAATCGAGCCGACGGCGGCCCTTGAGCCGCCTGGAAGCTTCTCGTCGTCACGGCTGGATCCACCTCGAAAAACAAGTCGGTGGGATTGGTTCATTGACAAATCCCACCATCCTTTTGGGCGTAGGTGGTCTTAGGAGTTGGATCCCACCATCCACCCACCTCCCTTCGGTGATGGGGGCCCTTCCCCTTGCCCTCCCTGAGTTTGTTGTGTTGATTTGTGTGTATGTGTGCGTTTATATATATATATATATATATATATACAGATGTGTGTGTGTGTGTGTGTTTTGGGGGGGGATGCGTGATGTGACAGAGGGTCCGTTTTCGCCCAAGATGTCTCCAACAGGGCCTCCGATGCTCCAAGATGGCCTCCAAGGCGGCTGGAGCTTCCTCCAGACCCCCTCAAGAGGCCACCATCCTTCAAACACCTACGAAACACCCAGAAGTTGTGCCTTTTCGTCATTTCGCTTCCGATGCGCGTTTGGGGCCCAAGAGAGCCCCCCCAAGAGATTCCAAAGGGGCTCCCAAAACGGCCCCACGAACGCCCAAGCTAAGATCGGCCACAGAGCTCTCCAAAAGGTGATGCTCATGGTCCCAGAGAGAGGGGACGGAAATGTATGTTTCTCTTTTAATCGGTAGCGTTTTGTTGCTCCTATCGTACTTAAAGACCACATCCCAGAACTGATTTCGAGCACCTGGAAAAGTGCCGAACAAGTGTCGAACGAGTAAAACCTCAAGTTTCGGTACTTTCGTGGTGCTCGAAATTCTTGCTGGTGATCAAGGCTAAGATCGGATGGAACACCATACTGGTAGACTCTAAGCTGGCCTCAGTGGGCCCTCCAGGGCCCCCAAGAGGGCCCCAAGAGGGCCCAAGTGAAGGGGCCCTGGGACACACAAATAAACACACACACACAAATAACAGGATTCTCCATATTTTCCTATATGTTCTGGGCTTTGTCTTCTCCCCACTTCCCATCCCATATTTTCCCATATTTTCCTGGGGATCGACGATTCCTTGTGTCTGTGTGTGTGTTTCCTCCTGACCAAAAGCGTCCCACGAGCGTCTCACGAGGGCCCCAAGAGGCGGTTTGCCTGCTCCTCCTCCTCCTCCTGCTCCTGTCTGCGTGCGGTCGCCTCCGCCGCTTGCCCTGCCGATTGCTTCCGCCCAGAGGGCGGTGCAACACGAGCTTGGTCGTCGGCCGTGCGATCGTGGTACGTGTAAAAAGTTTGGGCGTGTCCCCCCACAGGGGCAGTTTGGGGGAGCAAATAAAAAAGAAACTCTAACAATACTCCCCAAATGATCAAACACAGTCAAACAATACCCCCCAGACTAATTTTTGACTATTTCTGAACATTCCCCCGAACACCCTAGAAGTATTCAAAAAATACTCAAAAATGGTCAAACATTGTCCCCAGACTATTTTTTGACTATTCTTGAATATTCCTCCTGTAGAGGGACAGGCCCGAATTCATTCTAGGCTGAATTTCGTCGGGTACCATGCGAGGATCCCGCGCACCCCTGGCGCCGCGAGGGCGCATAATCCAACCTTGATCGCATTCGCTGGCGTCGCCGGCGCGCCAGTGCCGCATGAACCTGCCCTAACCTTGGGTCGGGCGTGTCCCCCTACAATGGGGCTGTGGACGACAAATCAAAAATACACCCAAAATGCCCCAACATATCCAAAACATTCTAACAACAAATCGTCACAGAGTATTTTGTGTTTTTTGAATATTCCCCATGTAGAGAGACAGGACAGACTTAAACCTAACCCAACCATGCTCCATTTCTCTGGGGGCAAGGCTTCGTTCTTCGCGGCGTCGCGGCGTGTCGGTGAAGAGCGCAGCGTACGTCTACTGTGGAGTCGGCTTGGAGGCCTGTGTGCTTGGTGCGGTTGCGGCGTTGGTAAAGCACCGAGTCCGCGACGCACCGTCTCCGTGAGACTTAGATCCTGTGCCTCGGAATGCCGTCGAGCACCGAGTCCCTGACGCACCAACTCCGTGACACAATACATGCAGACCTCCCCGGGCCATCCTTGGGTCGCGTGCTGGGGAACCTTGGTTTTTTGCCATCTGGTGCCACGAAGTGCGTGAAGGTCGTGCCGAGATGTAGCGGGCCGCCCAATGGACCCTACAAATGGGGCCCGCCCGATGGGAATCGGGGGCGGGGTTGCATGTACTTGCATGTGCTGCTGGGCGGCTCTTCCGTCAGGGGGTTCCCCGAACATGATTCTACAACATCGCCTTGGGGGAAGCCGGATGGAGCGAGCGCTGGGTGGGCGAGTGTACTTGGCGGGCTGTGGTTGGCGTTGCCGCCAGAAAGAACTGCATCCGAGGTCGGCCTCGTAACGGGGCGATCCATCAAGGGGGGGGAAACATCGCACGGCGGGAGATGTGTGGAGCGAGGTAGAGGCGGTGCAAGACAAACTGATCAAACGCCTCCCGTGGGACCCACGCCGCAAGCCTGACGAGCCCCTCAGGAGGAAGCACTACTATACATGAGAACATGCGAACAAACGGAGTACATCTAGTATGTGAACCAACGTTGTTGAAGGGGCCCTGGGACACACAAATAAATAGACAAATAACATGATTCCCTATATCTTCCAATATTTTCTGGGTTTTTGTCTTCCCCCCAACTTCCCGTATTTTCCCAGATTTTCCTGGGAGTCGACGATGAATTGTGTCTGTGTGTTTTGTTCCCTCCTGAGCTGTCCGCTACAAGTGAGAGCAGGCGCAGAAGCGAGGTACACATTCTGTGTGCACTGATTGTCAGCAGTCGTTTTGCATCAGCGTCGGAGGGCAGCCCTGGCACATCGAGGTGAACAAGACAAGCAAAGCAAAGACACAGAGGTGCTAGGCTGTCGGTGGGTGCGCCTTCCACGTTGTCTGGATTCGTGGGCTGTCGGTGGGTGTGCCTTCCACCTTGTTTCTGGCCCTCACGGTGGGCATCTGCAAACAAAGCCCCGCGCTTGAAGACGTGTGCCTCCCCGCAAAGTGCGCCACCCCCCAGCCGGAATCGGATGGGATCCAAAGTGGGCATTGGAGCGAGAAGGGGTGATAGCGAACGATTGCTAGACATCACCCCCCTCTTACTTAGGTCACCAATTGGGGCACCCACTCATCCATCACAACTGAACTTGAGGGTGAAAGGGGCTCTGCCGTGCCGTCATCGCCTCAGCCGGCATCTCAGCCGGCGTAATCCTCCTCCTGGCGCTGAAGGCAATGGGTCCCCTCCTCCTCCTCCTCCTCCTCCTCCTCCTCCTCCTCCTCCTACTCCTCATTCCCCCTCTCCCTTTTCCCTCCCCATTTTGCCGTCCCCCCCTTCCTGTTGAGCACAATTTCATGCTTATGCCACCGTTGGTCGACGAAGCCCCCCCCTTCCCGCCTCATTGTGCTGCCGTCCTCCTCCCCCCCCTGACAGTACCCGCTGCAAGAGCAAGGCTCCGCCCCGCTGAGGGGGGATGGCTCCTTCAGGCACGGCCCGCCGAGGAAATGGGCGACGGGCGGCAAGAAGGGCTCGCCGTTCGGCATCGCCTCCGTGATTCGGGCGCGGGTCGATCCTGTCCTCTCCGCCCGCTCTCGGAGGAGACAGAGAGGTGCCGACTCTGACACCAGGGCTGGACCCAAACGCTGTGCTATGCTGGACTTCGGCCGTGTCTTGTTTCTCGTTTTGGCAGGGAGGTATGCAGGACAACAGGTCGATCTTGTTCGACACACGCCGCCTTCGATACATGGGGCTCTGGAAATGTTCCCCTTATCTGAAGTACTGGGTTCTTGCTCCTTGTGTGACGCCTGCGCCTCGTTCCCGCATCCTCCCTCCTCGCCCACAATCACAATTATTCACACTCAGACCACCCAGACTCAGACTCACGCGCACGCGTACCCACTTACATTCGCACTTTCTCACAATACGAGACAGCCAGAACTCTCAACCAATAATTGAACCACGAAAACTCAGACTCACTCACACTATCCTCCATGCAGTCTCAGGCTCACTCGCTTTCAAAGCACTCATCCTACTCATGCTCCAATTTCCAACCCACACATACTCAGATGTACACGCACACACAGCATTTTTCCTCACATCCAGGCTCACTCGCACACCACCCACATACATACGCTCGCACACACAGACTTCCACACTCTTTTGGGGTTCAATGTTTACCAAGGCATCGCTAGCGTGGCACAGCACGTAGGCGCCGCCAGGGGGGGACGGTTGCCTCTTCGCGCCCAAGTTGTCGTGATGTCTGAGCGGTTTGCTACTATTGCCCCCAAGATACCTCTCTTTGAACCACTCCATGGTCATCGCGATGCAGCCAACGTGACACTTGGGTGCCCCAAAGAGGACAGGCCAGGTCGTGGGGATGTCTTCATTGGTTTGCTGCTTTTGCCCCCTGCCCCCTCCCTTTTCGACAACCCCATAACCATCACGGTAAATAAGCGTGTATTGATTGGACAAATTTCAAGAAAGAGACGACATGGAAAGGGACATCTGCCCTTTCGCGCCCTGATCCCGGGGGATGCCGTTGGCGGAATGCTGCTTTTGCCTTTTGCCCCCCAGACTCTTTCCTCCCTTTTTGCGACCCAATGTTCATCGCGAGATATCGCGATAAAACGAGCGCGGCACTTGGGACTCCAGGGGAAGAGCCGCCAGGAAAACGGACACTTGCCCGTTCGCTCTCAAAGTGTCGGGATGCATGTATGGAACAAGCTGCTCGTTCTTAGTTACTCTTAGTTCCATCGCACACGCTCAGTGGCCCCCGGGACACGCTGCGGACGCAGGCGCGAGCAGTCGCCGCGACGCCGCATGGCTTGCGCGCGCCGCGGCGAAACGCAAGCGATCTGCACTGGACCGCGCCACCCCGCGCGCGGCCGGCGCCCGCCGCTGCGCTGCGCAGGCGCATGCGTCACGTCGAGGTTCATGGGGCGTGCGACCCATCGCGGGCGATGGCCAGCCGTTTCCCCACGCGCCGCTGCCTGCTCGCCATGCCTCGTTTCTTCTGCCGCGCCGTCACTTGCTGGCTTGCTCGCACTGCCGCGTCGTGGCTGCGTGCGTTTGTCGGCTTGCTCGTCTCCTGAATGCTCATCTCGGCCGTCGCTGTCGGCTGTTGGGCGCCCGAGTTATCAGGGGTAACTCGGGTCCGGGGTAACTCGGGTTTGGATTCCCGAAAAAGGAACCCGAGTTAGCCCTGACCCGAGTTACCCCTGATGATGCGGGGCTCTGGACGCCCGAGTTATCCGGGGTAACTCGGGTCCGGGATAACTCGGGTTTGGATTCCCGAAAAAGGAACCCGAGTTAGCCCTGACCCGAGTTACCCCTGATGATTCGGGGCTCTGAGGCTGGGGCGTTCTCGACTGCTCGTCCCGCTGCGGTCGCCGCCCCGCCGGCTGGACGTCGTCGGTTCCGGTTGCCTGCTCCCCCCGCGCGCGCGCGCCGGCCGTCGCCGCGGCGCCCGCGCAGGGTGCGAACCCCCCCCTCGGCCGCGCTGGGCGCCTCTGCCGCGCGCAAGTGCCTTCCTCCTTCTTGGGGGGCCACGTGCGAACCCTGCCCCCTACCCCCCACGATTTCTGATGGGGGAGGGCGGGGTTCACTTCGTGAGGGAGCTCCGAGCAAAGTGAACCCCCCCCCCTCAGAAAAGGTGGGGGGTAGGGGTAGGGTTCGCACGTGGCCCCCTATTCCTCCTTCTCCCCCCCTCCGCAGGCACCGACTTGCTTCGTCGTTTTGCCGGGCTCGCCGCGCGGCCGCACGAGGTCTTGCATGACGTCTGCGCCGCATCCGAGAGAGGGTCGAAAACGAACGCCCTTTCGAAGTCTGGTTCGAAGCCCGCGCCTGATCCGAAGGAGAGTCACGAGAGATCGGCCGAACATGGTCTTCCCATAGACGCCCGAGCCGCATCCGAACGAGGACCGTGGGCGAACGACTGAGCGAGGTCCAGTTCGACGCCCCCCGCCGCATCCGAACCAAGATCGCGATTGAACGACCGACAAAGTCTTGCTGGACGTCCGCGCCGCATCCAGGAGGACCGCGTGCAAACGCCTGAAGGAGGTCCAGTTCATAGTCTGCGCCACGTCCAAACGTAGCGCGAGCGAACGACGGAACGAGGTTCTGTTTGCCGTGTGCGCCGCATCCGAGCGCAGATGGCGGGCGAACGACCAAGCGAGGTCCACGCAACGCTGCGCCGCAACCGCCCGCAGATCGCGAGCGAACGACCGAGCGCGGTCTTCCCCGACGTTTGCGGGGCGCGAGGGGCGCGAGGGTCGCGAGCGATCGACCGAGCGAGATCCGCGCTGGCGTCCGCGCCGCACCCAATCGAGGATCGCAGTCTGCTGCGCTGCGTTCGAGGGCAGGGGGCGGCGGTTACAGCCTTCCGCGCGCGACCACGAGGGGCCCTCTCATCTCCCGCTCCGCCTCGCGCCAAACTCGCGAGGCCGCGCGCGTTTGCGCGCGGCCGACGGCGCCCGCCCGCGCCGACGTCGGATCTGCAAGTTTTCCGTGATGGGCTTGTTTTCTACCACCACCATAAGTTGGAGGGGGAGGGGGTCCTCCTCCTCCTCCTCCTCCTCCTCCTCCTCCGCCTCGTCAACCCCCTTCCCCCCTCCAAGTTATGGTGGTGGTGGTGGAAAACAAGCCCATCATCCCTGGCTGACACTGACGCCCGCGCCAGGCGCGACGAGGCATATCTCCGCGACGTCCTCGCGGTGCTCGGCGCGAATGCTGCCGCGGCGAGCGCCGCGCGCCCCGCCGGCCTGGGCGCCTCGCGCCGCGCGCGCGCCGGGCCGAGCGAGACCTCGTCGGGCTCTCGACGTCCACGCGAGCTCATCCGTCAAGGACGGACTCAACTGAGGGGGCCCAAGGACGCACACATTAAAACACACAAATAACAAGAGTCCCCATCTTTTCCCATATCTTCTGGATTTCTGTCTTCCCCCCCACACTTCCCATATTTCCCATATTTCCCTGGGGGATCGACGATGAATTGTGTCTGTGTGTTTTTTCCCTCCTGATCAACGGAGGGGCTCTGGCGTTCCTCGGCCGCGCAGATCAGCGCGCGACGGCGCATGCTGCACAGGCCGAGGCGGCAACCATGCCCGCCGCCCTCGGCGACGGCGCGGCGCGTCGGCACGGGGGTCGTGCGACCGCGAGGAGGAGGAGGAGGAGGAGGAGGAGGAGGAGGAGGAGGAGGAGGAGGAGGAGGAGGATGCGCGAGCACGCGGATGCGCTCGCGCGAGAGCCAACCGCGGCCGCGCGCGTCGACGCCGGCGACAGCTTGGGCGCCGCCAGCCTCGCCGAGCTGCCCGTCGGCTTGCTGGCCACCGCGGGCGTCGCGAGACTGGCCCGACCATCGACGATCGCGCGCGCGGTCTGTCGCTCGGTATGCTCGCGCGGCGTGCGCGCGCGAGATGCGCGCGCGGGCCAATCGGCCCAGGCGAGTGGGGCCGCAGAAACATTTCCCTCGCGCAGGCATGGGGATGCGGCTGCCCCGCCCGGCGGTGGATCAGCTCTGGAGTCCCGCAACGGCGCGGTGACGCACCGCGCGGTGACCTCGACATCCCCCAAGACCTCGCCGCGCGGTCCGTCGCCGCACGGTTCCGGGGCACCGGGGGCCCCTGTCGCCCGAGACATCCTCGGAGAGGGACTCGAATCCCAAAACCGCGTGTTAAACTTGGAGAGAAATTGCACGGACTGTTTCCTCCTGCTTCCCCTCTCCTCCTCCCCACTCCTTGCTGCTCCTCCTTGCTGCTCCTCCTCCTCCTCCTCCTCCTCCTCCTCATCCTCCTCCTCCTCCCTCCTGTTCCTCCCTCCTGCTCAGCGCTCCCATCCTCCTCCCTCCCTCCTCCCTCCCCCCTCTCTCCCTCCCCCCTCTCTCCCTCCCCATCGAATCCCAAAGCCGCGCGGTGGCCCCGCATCCCAGCCGACTCACCGCGCGGCGCGGCCACCGCCCCGTTTGGTCGGGGATGGACAGACCCCCCTTTAGTAAAACGTGGTTTAGCGACAATGACCTGAGGCCCAAACCTGGCGGGCGCAAGCCTGGAAAATAATGGCCACGGCGCCCTCCCGAGAGCCGAAAACGGACAATTCACTAATCGACGTGTCACTGTTGGGGGTTCTGTCCACCCCCGGTGTGGGGGCACCCGAGAAGCGCGGCGGCCAAGACGGCGCCGACGCGGGGGAAGAGGGCGCCACGTCTCCGCGCGCGCGCTCCGCACGGCGCCGCGGCATCGCGCGAGGCATGTCGCTCGTGGCGACGACGGTCGCGCGCGACGAGCGGGCCCTGGCCGCGGACTTCACGGGCCACCTGGGTCCTGAAGGAGCCCAGGGACACACACACATGAACGCACCACTCCCAGGATCCCCCATATGTGCTGGGTTTTCGTCACCCCCACCCGCTTCCAATAGTTCCCCCTGCTTTCCTGGGAGTCGACGATCAATTGCGCCTGCGCGTTTTCTTTCCCTCCTGATTGGCTGCGATGCGCGAGAAGGCGCCGTCGTGCAGCTCGCCGTTCAGGAGCCCTTCGTCGCGCGGGCGCAGCCGGCCGCCGTCCGCGCGCGTCGCGGCCGCGCGAGCGGGGCGCAGGGGTCCGCGGGTGATCTGGCGGTCGTCCGCGACGAACTGGCGCGGCGGGAGTGGGCCGATCGCGCCCGCGGCGCAAGGTCCTTCGACGTCGATCGAGCCGCGCGGCGGCGCGAGCAGAGGCACTGCGCGCGCGCCGATCGCGAGCGCGCGGCTCGCGGATTCCCCAGCGTGTCCGAAAGCAACGGAAAGGCCAGCTTCAAAGGCGCTCCCCATGCGCAGTCCAAGAGAGATGGTAGCGCCGGCGAGCCCCACGGGGATCCGACTCTAGTCGCAGCCACCTGGGTCCGGCGCGGTGGACGGGGTCTCAAGCGCAACGCAGGGCGAAGTCATGTCGAAACAAATATAACACAACCGCCCCTTACTTGATGTCACGACTGCCTGGGTGTTTTTTTTGACGGGGAAGATCGGCGTCCGCTCGGCGGGGATCATTTTTTCCGCCACGCCCCTTCGACATCTTGCGCAACGCCCGCGCTCTGAGCACGCGCGGGTCGACCCTGTGCGCTTTTGCGCGCAATAAATGGCCCCGGGGGCGCGCGGCGGACGCGGGCGCGAGCGGTCGCCGCGCCGCCGCATTGCTTGCGCACGTCGCGGCGCGCCGCAGGCGACGCGCACAGGCCCGCGCCTCCCCGCGCGCTGCCAGCGCCCGCAGCGCGGCGCTGAGCAGGCGCGGGCTTCAGTTCGCGGCTGATGGGGCGCGCGCCCCGCGCTCGGCATTCGCCCGCCCCGGTTCTCGCCCGTTGCTTTGTCGCGCTGCGACCAGCGCCGAAGCCGCCGAATCCGCCCGCGCCCCCTCAGCGGGGGCGGCGCCCGCGCCCAACGTTGCGGTTGCCAGTGGGACCGACCCACGGGCGCTCAAAGCATTTGCGCCAGGCGGCGCGCTGCTTCTGGTCGCCTGAACCCTCGCTTCTGAAAGCGCAATCGTCATCGCGATGTAGCTGGCTGTGGGTGCCCGACAAGGGCGTATCACCAGGGGAGGGGAGCTAGCCCCTTCGCGACCAGACCGTGGGGATGTGTCAAGCAGCTTGCTGCATTTGCCCTCATATTCTTCTTCCATGTATGAAAACAATCGCCGTGGGGTTTTGCGCGAACCCGCTCGCGCCTCAAATGCTCGGGTGTCTCAGCCGGTTTACATGCGCGGTGGCTCAGATCCATGTCTTCTGTAAGCCACGCGCCAATTTGGCACTTCAAGGAGGACGCGCCAAGGGGTGCGGCACTTGCCTTCTCGCGCCGGAATCATGGGGACGTCGAAGGCTGTTTGCCTGTTTGGTGACTCGGGGTTCCTGTCACTTGACAGCCCCATGATCGCCGCGATGCAGCAAGCGTTGCACTTATAGGACGCACATGAACATGTTAGTGCAATGTGCTTTCCCGAGAAGCATGCGTCCGACCCGGACGTATAACACAACCACCCTGTACTACGATGTTCCCCAAACGGTACGGCCAGAAAACGGCCGACACGGAACATGCACCTTAAGATTTTTCAGCGCGCGTATCGCCTCTTCGGGGGCGACGCGCAAATCGTATCAATATTTCGAGGTGGCGCCGAGGTTGGGCCCCCCTCGGAAAACCGCCAGGGTGCTGCACGGGCTCGTTCGTAGCCCGATTGCGGGGATTTCTCAGATGTCATGTCTTTTTTTTTTTTCGTTCGACCCGCCACGAGCGCCCGCGGAGCCGACGGGCCGGCAGCGGCTGGAGGAGCACGCTATAGCGGCCACGGGCAGGGCGGCGGGCACCGGCCGAGGCTCTGGGAAGTCCGGCCAGCGCACGGAGCGGGCACGACGGCGACGAACAGCGAGGCTTCTTGGCACTGCCGTGCCTCTTTGGGCACCTCCGCGCCTCATGCAGATCATGGTCGGATGCACGGATGCACGTGCGCGGCCATCATAGCCGTATGCACGTGCGCGGCCCACCATGGTCGGCCTACCATGGCCCATCACGTGCACGTGCACCAGGTCCAGTCCAGTCCATACGCCTTGCGCTGGCCACAGCGCGTGAGCAATGGGTGAAAATGTGCACGGAAGCGGATGCCTCCAGCACGCCACCCATGCCTTGACCGCCTGCTCCCACCCGCGAGCTGCACCACCCTCTCGGCGGAAGCGTTCAGCATAACGCTCATGGAAGCCGGCAACATTCACACAAGTCTTTAGCATAGATTTGTGAGTTTGGCAACAATCGATCTAATATCTCGTGACACGCTCCCCAAGTACTGAGTGCAGAGTCGATGGGTATCACTACGCAACGGCGCAAACCCTGGAAGTGAGAGACGGAAAAGGAGGAAGGAGGAGGGGACAAACATCCCCCGCCCAGCGAAGGCAAGTATCGAACAGGCGCGTGACTCAAAAGCTAAACACTTGGCACCCATGCCCACCTAGCTCCTCTGAGCTCAAGCGAGACCCGCTATCTCGACTGGGAATTTGTCGCCCATGCATCCGCTGAAGGCTACATACGCTCCGCAGCAACGGGGAGTTGTGAGAAAAGCAACTCTGCACGGATGTCACTCACGCTGTTCTTAATCCCCCTCGCCGTCGACAGCAACTTCATCATGGCAGACGTGCCCCTCAAGGATGCAGTCCCCTTGACCACCTCCTCCGCTGTGAGCCTCCCATCTCCGTCGTCTATCATTTGGAACAAGTCTTGGGCCTCGTCCACCTTGATATCTTGACACGAAAGCCACATCATCACCCATTCGTCCTGGCATATGGTCATCCACTCATCCAGATCAAGCGTCCCGTTGCCATCGGTGTCGGCCTCTCTGAAAAGCGCCTGCATCTTTTTGGTGTGGTGCTCTGCTTTCCGCCGCTGCTGTCGTACCATGAGATTGTCATCCAGCTGAGCAACCTTGAATGTCTCCTGAATGAAAACTGCATTGAGAACACCTATTACAGCAAATCCGAGAACTATTTTGTGAACCACTGCATACACGACGAAACCCTCGTCGACACACTCCACTAAAATCCGGATGGGGGCGATGAAAATGCCGAAAGTAATCTCAAACATTGTGAGGAATGTGCGTGAGAATGACCCAAAATACTCGTACATCTGAGCCTCCTCTTGCGCAGTGGATGAGTTATTGTTGAAATAGGTCTCGTATATACTTTGATAGAATGCCAGAGCCAACACACAATGGAGCACCAACAAAAACAAAAAACACCAACCTGTTGTCCATAAGCTTCCCGAAAGCGCAGTTGTCATCATGAACAGTCCGTCCGAGTGGGCACCCTTCATGAATTTGAGAATGCGCACGAGCCGTATCACCCGTGCTATACGGGCGACCCGCAAGACTTGCACGTTGAGAGTGATAGGTGTAGAAGCACTGATCAGCCACACGATAACGATGACTGCATCTAACCAGTTCCATGGGTCCTTGAAAAATTCCAAACGAAGACCTGCGATCTTCGCGGCGAGCTCGAGCGTGAAAATTAGCCCGAACGCCCAAGACAGCACGAGGAAGAAGTCCTCGCCCAGCGGCCACACCTCGGCGGACTCTCCCGCTGCGCTTCGATGACCAATTCGTGTAGCCAGGCTGAAGCTGTTGTACTGCGCCTCCAACGCGAGGGTCACGGAGTTGAGAATGATGACCACCGAGACGGCGGCCTCGAAGGCAGGCGCGGTCACGAGCCCCCACAGGCGGCCCCTCCGGGCGATCTCGTTCTCCCTGATCGGCCTGTTCCTGGACATCAGCCCAGCTGGGGCCTTGGCCTGCAGCGACTGGCCCGTCAGGTGCGACTGGCTGGACAGCGCGGTCGTCTGCGACGCCGTGCCCAGGCCGTTTCGCATCTCCCTGCAGCCGCCGTCCGAGCGCCGCTCGAGCGAGGCGTCCTCGGAGCCCGAGCGCCGCTCGGGCAGGGCGTCCCCGGAGCAGGCGAGGCCCCCGGAGCAGGCAGGGCTGGCGCCGCGGGCGGCGAGGTCCTCGCCGCAGACGAGGTCCCCGCCGAGCCGCTGGCGGGCGGCGAGCAGCTCCCGCCACAGCGCCCGCGCCTCCAGCCGCAGGCGCTCGACCTCGGCGTCGTGGGCCGCCCCCGCCTGCTCGAGCAGGGCGCGGAAGTCGCCGCCGTCCAGCGAAGGGGGCGCCCTCTCGCCGATGGCGAGGCTGCGCGGCGGAGCCGAGGCCGCGTCGTTGGGGGCGCCGTCCGGCATGGCGGCCGCGGGGACGGGCCGCCGCTCTGTGGGGGCGCCAGCGGACCAGGGCGGCTTGAGCCAAAATGGCTACGGACCAGATGTCATGTCTTTTGGGTGGTTCCGACTCCTTTTCCCTGGGTGCCCCAGGGTCAACGCTACGTAACAGGCGTGCCACTGGGGAAACCAAAAGAGGAAGCGCCAGGTGGTAGGACACTTGCTTGCTTACAGCAACGTCGTGGGGATGCCTCAGGCGGTTTGGTCATGTCCAGGCCGGCGCACTTTGTTATGAAACCCTCGTGGTCACAACGCTATCGTCAGCGTGACACTTCGGCGCCCCAAGAAGACACCGCCGTCGTCGTCGTCGTCGGCGTCGTCGCCCTCGTCGTTCGTCCAGACTCACCCTCGCATCCATGACGCTCACAACGCGACGCGCTTGGAGAATCCCACCAGCCCTTTAGGGCGTAGGTGGTCTAGGGAGTTTCCTCTGCCAACCCCCTTCTTCCCCTTCGGGGAGGGGACTCACCCTCGCATCCATGACGCTCACAACGCGACGCGCTTGGAGGCCCTTTCCACAATCGGGGAGGGGTTTACCCCTCCCCTTACTGACCTGGACGGGGCCGGTCGCGAGGTGTCAGAGCGTCCAAGATGGCCCAAGACAGCTCCAAGAGCGAACAGGCGAGAAAACACAAAACATGATTTTACCTAGGTTTTGGAAGGATTTTGGCATCTTGGGGGGGCCCAAGAGGCGACTCGAGGCACTCTGGAGGGGCGGGGCTAATAAGCAACCCCCCCTTCTTTGATAGATCTCCTCCAAGATGGCCCAAAGAGCGCCCCGAAGGCTCCCAAGAGCGCCCCAAGAGCGCCTCAAGAGGGCCCCAAGAGACCCCAAGAGGCCCCCAAGAAGCCTCCAAGACGTTGCCAAGAGACCCCCAAGAGGCCCCAAGAGAGTCCAAGATGGCCCAAGACGGCTCCAAGAGCGAAAAGGCGAGAAAACAGAAAACATTGATTTTACCTAGGTTTTGGAAGGATTTTGGCCTCTTGGGGCGCCCAAGAGGCGACTCGAGGCACTCTAGAGGGGCAGCGCTAATTGGGGACCCCCTCTTCTCTGATCGATCTCCTGCAAGATGGCCCCAAGAGCGCCCCGAAGGCTCCCAAGAGCGCCCCAAGAGCGCCCCGAGAGCGCCCCAAGAGGCCCCAAGAGGCGCCCAAGAGGCCTCCAAAAGGCTCCCAAGAGACCCCCAAGAGGCCCAAGAGGCTCCCAAGACGGGTCCAAGAGCGAAAAGGCGAGAAAACAAAAAACATTGATTTTACCTAGGTTTTGGAAGGATTTTGGCCTCTTGGGGGGGCCCAAGAGGCGACTCGAGGCACTCTAGAGGGAGCAGCGCTAATTGGGGACCCCCCCTTCTTTGATAGATCTCCTCCAAGATGGCCCCAAGAGCGCCTCGAAGGCTCCCAAGAGCGCCCCAAGAGCGCCCCAAGAGGGCCCCAAGAGGCCCCAAGAGGCCCCCAAGAGGCCTCCAAGAGGCCCCCAAGAGACCCCCAAGAGGCCACAAGAGGCTCCCCGAGATACGCAAGAGGCCCCCGGGACCGCCAAGAGGCCCCAAGGACGGCCCAAGAGGCCCCCAAGCTCGCAATTGTCCTCCTCCTCCTCCTCCTCCTCCTCCTCTTTTTCTTCCTCCTCCCTCCTCCCCCTCCTCCTCCTCCTCCTCCTCCTCCTCCTTCTCCTTTTCCTCCTTCTCGTCCTCCTCGTCCTCGCAGTCCTCCATCTCCTCCTCCTTCTATTCCTCCTCCTCCTCCTCCTGCTCCTCCTCCTGCTCCTCCTCTTCCTCCTCCTACTCCGACGACGACGGCTCCTCCTACATCCTCCCCCTCTTGGGGTATATGGCGGCTCACCCCGCCCTTTGTTCTTCTGCATGCTCCCCCGCTTCCCTCATAACCTCCACTCCCCTGGGACTCATTTCTGGACGGGCTGGTGGGGATACGCGAAGCGTCTAGAATTAAAATGTTCATTTGGGGACATCCGCGTGGAATCCGCCGGCCGAAGCTTGCGTCGGGCGACGAGGCGCGCAAACAACTTGGCTGCCCCCCTCTCCCGTCCCCCGCCCCCCGAGGTGCAACATCCTTTTATGGTTGGGGGGACCAGGTAGCTAACGCTCCCCGGCTTCTTTTCGAAGCGCCCAAGACGCCTTGATCGAACGAAACCCAAGAGGGCTTAAACAGAGCGCCGAGGGGACCGAAGACAGCGTCGCGACGGCCCAGGGTCAATCCGCGACGGTCCAATATGGCTCCAAGACAATCCACAAACGCCCCCTGGACAGCCCCAAGGTGCTCCCGCAAGACCGCCAGGAGGCCCACAAGCCGCAAGCAACGCTGCAACTCTAACAGTGAAGCGTGCATTTTCGACATGCGCGCCATTTTTCCTCCCCCTCCCCCTTATCATCCTCCTCCTCCTCGTCCTCGTCCTCCTCCTCGTCGTCCTCCTCCGTTTCCTCCTCGTCGTCCTCCTCCTCCTCCTCGTCATTGTCCTTTTTCCTCGTCCTCCTCGTGGTCTTCCTCCCTTTCCTCCTTGTCCTGTCCTCCTCCTCCTCCTCCTCTTCCTCCTCTTCCTCCTCCTCCTGCTGCTACCGCTCCTCCTCGTCCTCGTCCTCGTCGTCGTCGTCCTCCTCCTCCTCGTCGTCCTCCTCCTCCTCGTTCTCCTCCTCCTCCTCCTCCTCCTTCTCCCCCACCTGCTCCCGGGCGCTCGCCCCTCCCCAATTCATTTTTTTGTGCTCGGACAGAACGCCTGGGCGACACAACCCGAAGGGAGGTGCCCAAAGTGCTTGCATGAATTCACACGCAGTCGGATCTCGCAACATGAACGGCGGCACAGACCCGCCCCAGGCGTCACATCTGCGCCACCGCTGCGAAGTGCCTCGAGAAGCCACCCCGAGACACGGCCACCGGCACCACCCCCACTTCGCCACCGGCCTCAAGCAGCGGAGGCCTCGCCGCCCAAGAACTTAAAATACCCGCGCCCCTCGCGTCGGGGGACCCCTTCGGGTAACCTTATCGGGCCTCTCAGGGGTGGCACGGCGGGCCCGCACCTACTCTGGCTGGCCAACCACAGGGCAAGAGTCTCTCCCACAGCCCCGTCGAGCTGTGGCGACGATCGGGCTGCCAACCCGCCTGTTTTCCTTGGACGCCACGAGGGCACCCAGCGGCACAAGTCCCCCCCGCTCCATTCCTCCCGCACCCGCTGCATATCCATCCGTGTTTCTGTCTCTTTCCTCGTCTTTCTTGTCCTCCTCCTTCTGGCCCTCGGGTTTCGGCTTGAGTGCAGGGTGGTAGTGTTTCGCCCCGGACGTCTCTCAAACAGCTCAGGGATCGCAGAATAATCCGAAACAGTCCGTCTCCTCCCCGTGTTCCCCCTGCCTCCCCCTCCTCTCCGTCCGTTTCCTCTTCTTCCGCTTCCCCCTTCCCCCATCCTGCCATTCACGTTTCTCAGGGGAACGACGGCAGCCGCGGCAGCCGCTCGCGGCGACGACCACCAACGGCCGCCCGGCCGCCCGGCGGGGGCCCTCGCCTTCCGCAGCGCGGCCTCAAAACGCCGCCTTCTCGGGGCGAAGTTGATGAGTGATGGGAGGAGGATGATAAGGAGGAGGGGAAGAGGAGAATGATTACCATGATGCTGCTGATGGTGATGATGATGGCGATGGTGATGATGACGATGATGATGGCGGCGATGACGATGGTGATGACGCTGATGATGGTGACGAAGATGGTGGTGATGAGGGGGTGACGATGATGAGGGTGATGGTTCAGATGACGAGTGTGAGGTTGAGGGGTACGAGGAGGGGGAGGTGATGAAGGCAAGGCAGAAGGGAGTAAACTAACCTGTGAAACAAGAACATGGTGGCATTGGTGGTGATGGTTCAGATCGTGATAAGGGTGCTGATGGTGATTGCGGTGACGCTGACAATGAAAATGATGGCGATGACGGCAGTGATGATGATGATGATGATGATGATGATGATGATGATGATGATAATGATAATGATGATGATGATGATGATGATGATGATGATGATGATGATGATGGTGGTGATGATGATGAGGGTGGTGATGGTGATGATGGGGATGATGAGAGGAAGGGGAAGAGGCGAAACATGATCATATATATATGATACGGTGGAAAAATGAGCGTAGTGATGATGGTAGTGCTGATATTTACGATGGTGATGCTTGCGGTGATGGTGCTGACCATGTCGATGACGATGATAATCATTGTGGTGGTGTTTCCCCTCATCCAACATACATCCCGAAGGCGCGCTCTGTCCAGGCCCCGGTGGGGGAAGCTCCCGCGTGCCCCCTGATAGAACTGCACGAGTGCATAACACCTGGCCAGAACAGTGCTACGTATTCGAGGTAGGCGGGGCGGCGACGAAAATCACCAGACCGGACGGGATCCACGCCGAGTCCCCGCAGAAGCTGCCGACAACGAGCCCGCCCCGAAACGGAAACAATACGATCGGCATGACCAGCATCATCGAGAGGCGCAGCACGAATAGCAACTCCCGACTTCTCGGGGCCACCTGGGAGATCGGCACGACCAGCGTCGTCAAAGGTATCGGCACGGACACCTGCTTCAGAAATAACTGCATGGACATTATTGTCGCCAAACGCATGCAACTCACAGCCATCATGAAAATATAGAACGTGGCCGTCGTCAAGGAGATGCGCGCGAAACGACGCCTCGATCACAGCAGCCATCTGGTCCAGCAAGCCGTGGAGGAACGGTCGGGCAACATCAGGAGCAGATATATCTGCGCGGACAATCGGATCCGCACAAGCAGGTCGACCTTCACGAACAGGCAGCTCTGCACGACCGGCTAGATCAGGTATATCTGCGCGAACAAGTAGATCTCCACGAACAGGTAACTCTGCGCGGACAAGAGTGTCCGCGCGAATCGGTAGATCGGCACAAACAGGTAGATCAACACGAACAGACAAATCGGAGAAACATGACTGCACGACCGGGTAGATCTGGAAGGGCTGGTATATCTACGCGAACACGTAGATCGGCACGCACACGTGGATCTGCGCGAACAAGCAGATCAGGAGGATCCACACGACCACGTAGATCTGCAAGAGCAGACAGAGCTGTTCCAGGTATATATACACGAACAACCTCGTCACCAGCCGCGCGAAACCCATCGTCATCATGAAGACGTCGGATGTGGCCGCCAAATCGCGCCCCGCCTCGCCAGGAAAATGCGCACATAACGACTACTTGGTCCAGCAAACTTTGGAGAAAATGTCGGGAAACAACAGGAGCAGGTAGATATGCGCGAACAGTTAGAGCAAGTAGAATTGCACAGTCAAGCACATCTGCACGATCAGGTAGCTCTGCACGAACACGTAGCTCTGCGCGAACAGGAGGGTCAACACGGACAGACAAATCCGCACAAACAGGTCGAACAGCATTGGCAGGTATATCGGCAAGCTCTGCACGAACGGGTAGATCTGAAGGAACTGCTAGATCTGCACGAGCAAATAGATCGGCACGAACAGGTCGATCTGCACGAACACTTCGATCAGAAAGGGTCCGCGCGGACAGGTCTATTTGCACGAACAGGGTTAGCATCGTCCCTAAGCACAAAGACATCTGCATCCGAATTGAATGAGGAAACATCAGACCATCCTGTACGTCACCGTGTGTCCTCGGAGCCTTGGCAAGGGGCCGAAGCCAGACCTGCCCAACGACGCCTGCGACCGCGGACCGCCCCCCACGGCAGGCTAAACATCAGCAGCGCCATCACTCCGAAGAAATGACGCTGAAATCGCCAGCCGTGACGGCAATCATGATCATCATCATCATCGTCGTGCTCATCATCGCAAGGGGAACTACCGTGTCCGCCGCCACGAGGTCAACACAAACAATCAACGGCACCGCCTGGTAGAGCAGAAATCCCAAGACATGTTTCCGTAGTCCCACTCGAATGACGGTGGCCGCGATCAGCGGTAGGATACCGAGACAACACATGCGCAAACGCATCAATGCTGCGCAGCTGCAGCATCTGGGTCATGGCCGAAGGCTCCAGCACAGGACAAACCTGGATCTGGAGTTTAGCACGACTTGCAGCCTGGGCGGCCGCAACAACATTGTTGACTACCTACCAGACCACCCCAACCCAACCCGAAGACCCGTATTTGACCTGAATTTCGGGTTGGGGGGGGGGTACGGGTTCCATGTGTTTGTTCAATGTTCCCCGACCCCCCCCCCACTGGAAATCGAGGATAAATTTGGGCCTTCGGGTTGGGTTGGGCCGGTTTGGTGGGTGGTGAATTGTGCACCGCGAAGTCCTGGACTGTATGCCCTCGCGCCCCGCCGAGCCGAGCCGCAACGACCACGAGGACTGGCAAAGACGGGGCGCGGGGGGCGCAGGCGCGCCCAGGAAGCCGCGAGGGCAGGCGGGTGCTCGGGCCAGCGCGGCGACGCAGAAGTGGTGGTGGTGGTGGTGGTGGTGGTGAAGACGAGGACGACGACAACGGTGACGATGATGGTGCTGACGAGGAGGAGGAGGAGGAGGAGGAGGAGGAGGAGCAGGAGGAAGAGGAGGAGGAGGAGGAGGAGGAGGAGGAGGAGGAGGAGGAGGAGGGAGGAGGAGGAGGAGGAGGAGGAGGAGGAGGAGAAGAAGGAGGAGGAGAGAGAGAGGAACAGCACAGCAGCAACACGAGGAGCAGGAGCGGGGCCCTGCGCGCCCTGGGGCGGGGGCGCCGCTAGAAGCGAGGGCCCTCGCCCAACAGCGCAGAGAGATATACCAAGGAGCGTACGTAGGGAGCCCAGACAGGGCGTACGAGCCCCACCATGTACATGAACACGGCACCTCGAACCGCGAGACGGGCAGCGTGATACGAACATGTGCGCAAAGTGTACTCTCGAGACAAAGGTGGATGATTCATGTACGTGTACGTCCTTATTTCGCTCCTGAGTGCGGTTGGCGTTGGGGTCAGGGAGCAGCTCCTGCGAGGTCTCCGTAAGAGCGATTGAAGGCTATTGGATATTGAGCCCAGTTAGAGCACCATCAAGCCAGCAAAGGCTGCAGCTGGCGCAGTATGGAAGCGGATGGATCCTGATCAAGCCAGATGGGGCTCGAATGTGCCTGGTTGGGGCAGTCTCCGACCGCGGATCTATCAACGCCGAGCCCGAATTCAACCTCCCAGAGTTGCACCCTGGGGAAAGATAGTGTGCAACATCGATCCCCGAAACGCACGCTATCCCTGTGAGATCCCGTGAAGCGATCCGCCCGCGAGGGCCCCTTCTGTGTACGCTTAGGTCGGGCGTGTCCCCGCCCCATACAGGCGGATCCTGGACGAAAAACTAAAACTGCCCAGTCCAATACCCCCAGCATGCCCAAAAACACGCGACGAATCGCCCCCAGACAATTTCGTGTGACTGCTTCTGAATATCCCTCCTGTACCGGGGCAGGCCCGCCTTGGAGTGTACGCTGAGCCCCGAGGCGTTGGCAGAAACAGCGCGTCATGAGCGGGGGCCGGCGGCGTCGCACGCTGGCCTTCCAGCGCCAGTCCTGTGCTCACGGCACATGCGCGCTTCGCTTGGCGGCGAGCGCGGGGGGGGAGGCGAAGAGGAGCGGGTCTTCTCAGAAGGCCCAGAAGTCCCCCGGCCTTCTGAGAAGTCTTCCATGAGCCATCCCCGAAGACGCAGGAGAGCTTCTCAGAGGGCGCGAGGACTTCTGAGAAGTCCCGCCGCCTTCTGAGAAGGCCTTCTCCTTCTCGCTTCCCCCCCTCGCTCGCCGCCGATTCGCGGCTCATCCTAGTCTTTCTCCTGGGCCGGCGCCTTGTCGTTCTCTTTCCTACCTCTGCATGGTGGCTGGATTCGCCTAACGTGCCCCTTTGTGCTTTACTCGCCAGCACAGTCCCTCCGCCAAGCCGCCAGAGCAAAAAATGTGTGTTCGCGGCGTTCTTTCTGCGTCGGACTTGCGCCGTCGGGCCCATGGCCGAGTTCTGCTTCCCGTGCTCGCGCACTCGCCATCGCTCGGACGTCCCTTCCCTGGTTTTTTTGTTTGGTTTCGTGTGTATTTTTCTTCGTCAAATGATCAAGGATGCTCCTCGATGGCCCTCGCCGAAAGAAAAATGCACACGTCCGAGCGATGCCAAGGCGCAGTCACCTGCTGAGAAGCGGGCCTCGCCCAGGGGAGCGACAGGTCGGCGGCTCGAAGATGGGGCCCCAGTGGACGGGGTCCAAAGGACGAGGGGCCTCGAGAAGCGCAAGCTCAGCCTGTGACCCGCTCCTGCCCTGGGACCTCATCCCTCAGGGCCTCTGTTCAGCGGGAGGCGGCCTCCTCGTCTGAGGATCCCCCTCGTCCGCATGGGCTCGTGCACGCGCCAACATGGATTGCAGTGCGGGCGCGGCCGCAAGAGACCTTCGCAGGAAACCCAACCCTGAAAGTCCGCACGCGAGGTGAAAACCTGAGCATCCTGAACGCAGCAACTTCTTCAGCTGTTGCGGGAAGTCACCGCGCAGCGCGCGGAGCGAAGAAACCCAGGGTACCTTGACGAAAAGCAGATGGTTTCTTGATGCGCGCCCCCGCTGTATGGACCCGTGGGTCCGTAGCGTGGGCGCTGCGATCCACGGCTCGGGGAGTGGCCCCCCGAGACATGGGGCCGATGCCGCCTGATGCGGCGACGGCGCGCGCGCCAGGTCCTGCACGGCAGGGGAGCCTGTCGCTCATCCGCACGCCTTCGATCAACCTGCGCGCGTCCTCGAAACGAGGGCAGAAAATCCATACCGATAATAACCGCCCCGACACGCGAGGCCTTTAGTAAACGCGCCCAAAGGAGGAATCGAACAGGGCAAGGCTGTTTAGTAAACGCCCAAGGTCGTTTAGTAAACGCCAATTGTCCGGTCCGGGTGGATTTTCCTCCCTTGAGAGAGACGAGGGAGAAGGACCAAAGTGATCCAGGGTGCACGAATGAGGTCGGGCTTGTCCCCCTGCAGGCGGATTTTGTACGAAAAATAAAAGATGCTCGAAACGTGCATAACAACAATGCCCCAACATACTCGAACAAGAATCGTCCCCGGACGATTGTTTTACTCTTTTTGGATATTCCTCCTGTAGAGGTACATGCCCGACTTCATGCAGGAACAATGCTGCAGTACGTGCACCCTCCCGTCCAGCTTCCCATCCTCATAGGTCCCTGCCTGGCCATCGCTCGGACGTGCATTCCCTGTGTTTTTGATTGGTTTCGTGCGTGGCTTCTTCGCCAAATGATCAAGGATGCTCCTCGATGGTCCTCGCCGAAGGAAAAATTCTCACGTCCCGAGCGATGCCAAGTCCATGGATTTGGGCCGCAGCTCGGGTCCCCAGCGGCCGCCCTGGTCGATCCGGGCACCCCCGGAGCGCTCTCGGCGAGGCGCAGCTGCTGGAAAGCAGTCCGAGGCTGGAAAAGCGCCGCGAACCAGCGAGGACGTCCGAAAAACTGTGCCCGTCGGTCGGAAGCAGTGGGCAGAACGGTGAGGTAGGAAGGCGTGGAGGCAGGCTCTCCAGCCGCCCCCTGAAGAGGACGAAAGAGGGAACACCGCCAGACTCTTGAAGTAGGAGGGCGCCTAAAGTAGATTTAGGATCTGGGAAGCCAAGATCGGGGGCGCGCAAACATGGATTAGCGATCCATGGATTTGGCGCGCGATGGCCAAATCCATGGATCGGGGGAGGTGCCCTCCCCAAACTGCGGCCGGTGCCGCCTCGTTCGGCGGCGGGAATCCGCGATTTCCCATGGAAACGGGACCCGTCGCTTATCCACGCCCCCTTGATCCATGTTTGCGATCGCCTGAGTCCTTGGAGCCATCTTCCGCGAAGACGGGCACTCTGATGACTCGCGGCCCCTCCCCGAAGGAAGCCCTGGGAGGGGAGGGGGAGGGCCCCCCCTCCCCGAAGGAAGAGGGGCTTCTTCGGGAGAGGAAAGAGGGACATCGTTCGACCACCTGCGCCAGGAGGGCCGCTGGGACTTTGAAGCGGCTTTGCCCACCATGCTTGACCACGGGCTGGGGGCGGGCATCGCCCCCCCCCCCCCCCCCCAGAGCCAGTTTCCCCCTCTCTACGAAGAGAAGCAGCAGACGCCTCAACTTTCGGAGGCACCCCGGCGGGCTTCCTGGATCGGGCGCTGCTGTTTTTGTTTCGGCTTCGTCCGCGTTTTCCTTGCCAAATGCTCAAGGATGCTCCTCGATGGTCCTCGCCGAAGGAATTCGCGATGCACACGTCCGAGCTCGCCGGTCCCATCGGCGAAGGAATTCGGCGCTGGACCCCATCTGGCCATCGCTCGGACGCCCATTCCCTGTTTTTTTAAATTTCGTGCGCGCTTTTTTCGCCAACTGCTCGAGGATGCTCCTCGATGGCCCTCGCCGAAGGAATTCGCGATGCACACGTCCGCGCGATGCCGAGCCACTCGCTGGCGCCCGGAAAGCGCAGCGCGCCGGGAGCGGCGCCGGGGGCGCCACCACGGGGGACCGGCGCCTTCACGTACAAGAAGCTCCGCGCGGACCTCCAACCAATCTGAAGGGGCCCTGGGACACACAAAGAAATACACACAAATCACAGGATGCCCCATATCTTCCCATATTTTCTGGGTTTTCGCCGTCTCCCCCACTTACAAGAAGCTCCGCGCGGACCTCTGACAATCTGAAGGGGCCCTGGGACACACAAATAAATACACACAGATAGCAGGATGTCCCCTATTCTCCCATGTTTTCGGGGTTTTCGTCGTCCCCACCCCACTTCCCACATGTTCCCATCTTTTCTGGGGGATCGAGGATGGAATTGTGTCTGTGTGTGTGTTTTTCCTCCTGACAACTGGTGTTCATGCTGTCGTCTTCGACCCTCGGCGTCCCTGACAGTCTCTGCCACCCTCGCTAAGGGGGGAACGCTAGGAGAGGACCAGCTCCGCGGGGGAAACATCGGCCCAGCATCGGCGATGTACCGCCTCTAGCTCGGCGATCAAGTCCCCGAAAGCAAATGCTCACGTTCCCAGGCGGGCTGGGCTCTCGGGCCCCAATCGGTGATACATGGGCGACTGGGGGTCGATGCATTCCCCCACCGAGCCTACATCCGTCCCTCGTGGCTTTCGGGCCACAGCTCGCGCCTCCGACGGCCGCTGGGGACGCTCTGGGCACCCCCAGAACGCTCCCGGCGCGGCGCGGCTTCTGGAGAGCATCCCGCTCGCACCCCGAGAGCCTACCGCCCCCCCTGACCCTCCCCCCCCCCGTGACGCTGACCCTGACAGCCCTTCCTGAGCAGATCCCCCTGATGGGGCCTCCCCTGATTGGAATCTTCTTCCCTCGGCATAGAGGAAAAAGAACCATGCACATGCACCGATTTTGGCCAGCTCCAACCTGAGCCCAAGATCGGTGCATACGCCCTCCTGCCTTGGCCAGGAAGGCATGTGCACCGATCCTGGGGCCAAGGATGGGCCTGGCCAGGACCGGTGCACCCCTGAGCAGATCTCCCCAAGGTTGCCCCCCTGATGGGGTCTCCCCTGATGGGGGAGATCCCCTGAGCAGATCCCCCCAAGGTTGCACCCCTGAGCAGATCCCCCCAAGGTTGCACCCCTGAGCAGATCACCCCACCAAAGGTTGCCCCCCTGATGGGGTCTCCGCCCCCGGCCGCCTTCGCTTCGCCTCGTCTGGGTTCCCAGTGAGGCGCACGGGGCGGGTGAGGTTCACGGCCACGACGCCGTCCTCGCCGCAGTCCCCGGGCTCGGCGGGCACCATCCTCGGGCGGTCGGGGGCGCACGGAGCGCACGGAGGAGGCCGAGGAGGAGGATAGGTCGTGTTCCGTGGCCCTCCCCGGCGCATCCCTCTCAGGAGGAGGAGGAGGAGGAGGAGGAGGAGGGGGAGGGGGAGGAGGAGGAGGAGAGGAGGAGGAGGAGGAGGAGGAGGAGGAGGAGGAGGGAGGAGGAGGAGGAGGAGGAGAAGGAGGAGGAGGAGGAGGAGGAGGAGGAGGAGGAGGAGGGGGAGGGGGAGGAGGAGGAGGGGGAGGAGGCGGATGAGGTGGAGGCGGAGGCGGAGGAGGAGGAACTCGCGACCCCACCATGGGGCCCCGAAGGGCCCCTCTTCTGCCAGACGGGCGGGGCGTCGCTCAGTGGGGGGGCGGCGGTGCAAACAAGGGGGGGGGGAAGAGCGGTGCACTCCTCGGGCCTGGGGCCCCCCGGCGGGGCCGTAGAAGGCCCCTCCCATCGACCTCCACCTGCCGCACCCTGCGGATGGCAGCTGCCGCGCAGCGGCCGCCGCCAGCGCGGCCGCAGTGGCGGCCGCCGTCCAGGCCGCAGCGGCGGTCTCGGCGGTCGCCGCGGCGGCACCTGCTGCGCGAGAAGGTGCTCAAGGTGCAGGTCGAGGGTTTGGCGTTTCTTATGACTTACGCTGTATCGTCGTTTATCTTCTGCCCCCCGCAGCGGCGAAGCCTCTGTGGGAGGGGGGAGGGCTGCAGGTGTGGAAGATACCAGATCCCGCAACATCGAACATCGAGGAAAACAAAGGACCGAGGCCGAGGTTGTTGGTCGAAATTTGTGGGTGCTCGTCAGTCTCTAGAAATTTCTGGGGATCCTGGAGGACTTCCGGCGATCCGCATGAAACTCAAGAGAACTCCGGGGAATATGAATAATGCTGATGATGACGAGCTCCTGTTCCTCATCCCCCGGGAAGATCTGAGGAAACATGAAGAGGGGGATGGGGAGGCGGAGGAGTGATATGTTTGAACGTGCGTGTTGGTTTTGTTAGGAGGCGGAAGGGGATCTTGCCATCTTGCCCCCAACGCTCTGAAACAACCGAAGATCATGTGTTTGACAAGCTTGCAATGTTTGGGGCCGTTTCTGGGACCTGGGGCATGTTCGCCAGCGTTGACCCCAAACATTGAGATGTTGCTCTGCGAATATATGTGGTGTGAGTTGTGTGGGGCAAGCAACGTGGCGCAATACATCTGGTACGATCTGCATGGTGCGATCTGCGCGGTTCAAAACATGTGGTGCGACCTATGAGTTTGATCAGCGCATCGGAACGTAAGGTGGGCAATCTGCGATGCGATCTACACAAGGTAAATCACACAGGGCAAAATAACTAGTGCAACCTACGCAGGGCAATTCACTTTGACTATCTTGAAACTGTCCTCTCCACTGCTCGTGCAAACATCCCACCCTCCCACCCGCAACTTGGTCGCAAGACCTCTTAAGACCGTGACGGTAGGTACCAAATGGCACTTGGCAACGACACTGACACCGACGACGACAGCAACAACGACGACGACGACGCCGACGACGACTACGACGACACCGACGACGACTCCGACGACTTCGACGACGACGACTACGCCGACGACGACGATGAGGACGCCGACGACGACGATGAGGACGCCGACGACGACGATGACGACGCCGACGACGACGCCGACGACCGCGACGCCGACGACGACGAAGACGACGACGACGACGACGACGACGGCGTTGACGACGACGACGACGCCGACACCGACGACGACAACGGCGATGACGACGCCGACGAGGATGACGACGATGACGACGCCGACGACCACGACGCCGACGACGACGAATACGACGACGACGACGTCGCCAACGAAGACGACGACGACGAGGGAGGAAGGAGGACGACGACGGCGACAACGACGACAACGACGAGGGAGGAGGGATGACGGTGACGACGCGAACGACGAAGAAGGAGGGAAGACAAAGACGCCGACGACGACAACGACGACGGAGGAGGGAAGACGACGACGACGACGACGACCACGGCGACGAAATAGGAGGGACGACGACGAGAGGCCGACGACGGACGACGACGACGAGGGAGGAGGAAGGACGACCACGGCGACAACGACGACGGAAACGACGACGACGCTAAAGAGGACGACGACGACGACAAAGAAAGAACGACGACGGCGACGACGACGACGAGGGAGGAGGGAGAACGGCGACGACAACGACGACGACGCAAGAGCGCGCGCACGCTTTTGTTGAGCATCCGTGTTGCGAAACCTTGTGTTTTTATATGCTTTTTGAACACACGATTTTGAAATGCTTCCGAAACCAACTGTTTTTGAAGGATTTGCGCATGCGCGCGCAGCGACGCGCGCGTCTGCACTTCGTCCCATTTCTTGTGGAGGATTCTCGCGACGGCACGCGCGCAAGGGCGTTCGAAGGATTTCGACATCCGCGCGCGCGCGAAGCACGTTTGGTAGTATTTGTTGGAATATTGAACACCGCATGGTTTACCAAGAATTTCGCAAGAGCGCGCGCGTAAGTTTTTTCGGAGGTCAGTGCTGCGAAACCACGTGTTTCTGTATATTGCTTGGAAACTTAATTTTGAAATCCTTCCGAAACAGAAGGTTCTTGAAGGATTCCCGCATGCGCGCGCGACAACGCGCGAGTGCGCACTGCGCCCATTCGTTTGCAAAATATTATTTGAAACCAATGATTTTTGATAAACGAGAGCGCGCGCATAGTATTTTGGTGCACAGCATGGAGGGGGGGAGTGATACCGGCTTGGCTGGATGTACAATGGGGCGGAATCATCTGTAAATTGCAATACGAGAAGGGGGCGCGTTAACTCCGGGGGGGGGGTAGAGACTACTCTTCCTTTAGAACGGAGAATATATGTGTGGCGCGAGCTCCGCAGTGTAACCTATGAGTGAGCTACGCCGTGCAAGCCACACGTGCAATACATATGGTGTGGGCTATGTGGTGTAGGCTACATGGCGCATTCCACCTCGCTGAACATGAAATCGTCAACCCAAATGCTCGCGAAGCCATCCCAACCTTCCACCCACAATTCTTTTTGCGCAACCAATGCGGCCGTGGTGGCGGTGACTACTTGGCACGGGGTGGCGCTTCTCTTCGGCTGCGCAACCGCGCGTAAATTAGCGGCCAGCTGGTTTGGCACAGCCGACGCGGCCGCGATGGCACCTACCGATGGAAACGCCACAGCGCGTGTTAACGGCCGTGCTGGCGCGCGGGCATTCCATTGCGGCTCGGAGACTCAGGCGGGCGCGGTATCATTATGACGCTGACAACGGTGATGATAGTAACGATGGTGGTGGCGATGATGACGGTGGCGACGGCGAGGCCAATGTCGGCGCCGATGCTGGCGACGACGGTTGTGATGATGTCCATGTGTCTGTGAGCAACGTCATTGACGCATGATGGCGGCAATGGCAGCGATTAGCGATGACGGTGACGGTGATGATGCGGTGGCGTTGGTCAAGGTGATGGCGAGGAAGTGCGCGCGCGGGAATGCAAGGAACGTGGCAGAGATTGTGTTCCGACCAACCATAACTGTTGGAGCTGTGGTCCTTACCCCCTTGGGGAGACCCATCGCATCGACGATCTCTCGAGAGGGGTGTCGAAATACATGGGTCCCCCAGGGGGGTAAGGACCACAGCTCCCCCCTGTTGTGGCTGGCCTGGTGTTGAATAGCAATTTTTGTTCACAGACAATGGGTGGTTTTTGACTGGGTTCGACACGCGCGCGCGTGGCGGCGCGCGCGCGTGGCCCGGATGGTATGGCCGCGCGGGGCGCAGGCTGGATCAACGCGGATGGAGAGCGTGGTGAGTTGAGGGTGCGAGCTCTGGATGAGTTTACTGAACTCACATGGCTTCCCTATAAGTTATGGTGGCATATACTCTGCAGTTCGACGTCACCCTGAATCAAAAATTTGCGGATCCCAATTCCGAAAACGAGTTCCAACAGCCGAAATCGGCGATATTTGCAATGAAGAACCTTACTGTGTCTGTTTGTTTTGAGATCGGCGCGGTTGCATAACTAGTGTACAGGGCGTGCTGTCGACATGTGCGCGCGCGTGTGCCTCACTTGTGTAAGGAAGGTGTGAAACATGATCGTCTGAAATACACGAGTGCGCGCCCATGGTTTTATTTGACACAGGCAGTGTGTGGGGCGGGAAGGGGCGATACCCAGCCCCCCTGGGACGTTATGCGTTCAGATGAATGAGTGATGGGGCAAAATCAAATGTACATTGCAATGTTCTGGAAGAGGTTTCGTTAACCTCTGGAGGGGGTGGGAGGGTGGTAGAATCGATTTCCACGGTTGACAGGAGAATCTGGTTGGTATGGGCCATGCCGTGAATACGCTCAGGCCCCCACGAAGCGCCAAGAACCTACCCAGCGCACGGTGCGCCGCCAAGGCGCCCACGGGCGGCAACGTGGAGAAACTTCACACATCCACCCTGCGTATGGGGCGCCCGCAGCATGCTCACAGGTGGCAGCGTGGCGACACGTTGGTGGAAACATCCAACTATTGACTACGTCGAAGAAGAACCCAGTGGTGCAAACACTGTTTGGTAAATCGTAACCAATTTAGAACCAACGACATGTATACAGGAAGCAGGCCGTTATCTCCGATACACCAGCGTTGGAGTCTTAATGCATGAGATGTCCGGGGAAACGGACATCTTCTTCGCCACCCTCCTGAACAATTTGTCCAATGCAAAATGAATCAACATTTCGAGGCATTTTCATCCGTCGTTTTCCTTTGCGGAGCCACCGTGATGTTATGCGTAGCGTTTCCTTCCACCGAAATGTTGGGGGTGGTGGTGGCCGGGCGGAATGGCCACGCCAAACACGCAACACTCGGCAACGCCAGCGTCAGGAGGCGGAAGCGGAGGCAGACGACGGCGACGACGACGACGACGAGGACAGGGAGGGGCGATGAGCAGGAGGTGGGGTTTTGGACTGAAAATGAACAGCAATTTTCAACAATGAAGAACAGTGCCAGTCATTGGGCTCTGGTCCAATGCGACCCGAAGGCGCCTGCGATGCAAAAACCCAATTGCTGTTTTGTTGTTGCACCTGGTAGGTTTGCTGGGGCCGTGGCACCGGCTAGTTAAGCCACAGACTCGCCCACTCGAAGAGTAATGTCAGCTTGCGATTCGCAAAAACATGGGGCTCGTGCGTTTAAGGAAAAGGTTTCCCTGTTAAGGCGAATCACAGGGCGGCAACCGCCAGGTTGAAACACGCCGCGGCGGCGCCAGGAACAGCGCGGCCTGGGGGCGGGGCGGGGGCGGGAGGCAAACGCGGCAAAAGCCAGGGGCCGTCGGCGCTGCCACCGCCGTGATGTTTCCTGGTCTCGCAATCTAAGGGGGCCCCCGTCGCCGCGATGGAGGCGGGCCCTAAAGGAAACGGGTCCGGAATCCTGGAGTCCGGGCGAGGACCCTCTCGGTTGTTTTGTTCGGTTGCCTCGGGTCCAGCCGAAGGCCTGGGGGCCCGAAAGCAGGACAAAACCTGCCATGGCCCTCTTCCCGCAAGACACGCGTCCATCCGCGGCGCCCCGCTGACAGTCCAAAAAGCGAGCCAACCAGGCGCAGGGCGAAGCACAGCGCGCCCGAAAAGGGTCCTGGGAAAAACAGGCATTGCGCCAACAAACAGAGGTTGTCCGACACCGACAGCGGCCGCTGCTGGGCAGGGGGTTCGTTGCATGGTGTTGTTGGCATCAGCGGCGACACCCACAGGAGACAAAATTGTGGTAGGGGTTTTTCCCCGCGCACTCCGTGACCGCCCGGAAGCCGCCTTTGCTTGGCCAGAGCCAGCGAGGCCCCGGACGGCTCGTTGGCCCGCTGGCACGGCGGGCCGGGCGAGAGGGGGGGATAGCACCGGGTCCCTCCTCCCCCTCCTCCTCTTCCTCCTCCTCCTCCTCTTCCTCCTCGTTCTCCTCCTCCTCCTCTTCCTCCTCCTTTTGATGCTATTCCTCCTCCCCTTCCTCGTTGTTCATGCCGTTTGCCATCATCCGCGGCGCGTTGGCTCCCCGAACTCTCCGAGCCCCTGGCGCGCGTGATACATCAAGTGTTTCGCTCCCCGCGAGGTTCTCTAGCCCCAGGGGGGGTTCATGGATTATCCACAAGCTGGCATAACAATCGCACATCAGTAAACTATTGAGGACACGTTGTCTGAACAGAGCGCTGATTGCCCCTGCTCTCCAGGACGCTTGCCGTCAGTCCCGAAACAATCATGTAACGAGCTGGAAGAGGAGGAGGCCCGTGAGAAAATGAATGGTTGGCTCTGCAGCAAGTGGAGCATCTCTAAAAACTTGGTTCCCAAGGCTTCGGCTTGATCGATTGCCAACTGTGGGACGAGGAGGAGGGGCGGAGGAGGATGACGAGGAATGAGAGGAGGACGACAAGGCCAAGGAAAGGTGCAAAACCCAGGTGCGCAAAAGAAGGGAGCCAGGAAGCGGTGGGGGTGGCGAATCATAACACGAGGCATGTGCGTGGACGAGAAGAGGACCAGGCGAAGCATTGAAAGAAGCATGGGGGGAAAGCAAATCTGGAAAAATGCCTGGCCGCAGCAATGACACCCACAGCCCCCGAATCCTCACCCCGAGGGGCAACCCTAGGGGAGCCAGCTCGGGGGCGGAAAGCACCGAGCTGGAATCAACGATACGTCGGCGATGGATTGGCGATGGGCTCCTGGCAGCACCGCGCGTTCCTTGGCGGGGTGGGTGGGGCTACCAGGTCAGGGCCCCGTAGACCCGGACACGCTGGACCCGGACACCCAACATCCCTCGAAACCAATTTTTTCCAACGGCGGCACGACCAAAATACTGCACTGCAGCACTTCCAGAATAAACCCGAACACAGGCCTCCAAAGCCTGCAAGACCCCCCTGTATAAAGGGACACAAACCCGAATCCTGCACTGCACCGAACAAAACACGCACGGGTGCTGAGAAACGTGACCTTGCAAGAACAGATGTCGTTTTCTGGGTTTTCCGTGTCCTGCAGGGTTTATCCGTGTCCTGGTCTCCGGGGGCCTGACCAGGCCTCTGTCGGCGATGGCCGGGCGCGTGGCCTGTCGATGGCTCCCCCTCGCAGCCTAGCCCCCCCCACAGAACGTCGGCCCCGACACCCTGCCCATGGTCCGTGCGGCGAGGCGCGGGGCGACCCGGCGAGGGCCGGGGAGAGCCCTCCCTCCAGGATGCCCACCAGGAAGACGGAGCGCGCTCGACGGGCGCAGCCCCCCCCGCCCGCCCGCCCCCTCCCGCTCCTCCTCCAGCTCCTCCTCCTGCTCCTGCTCCTACTCCCCCCCCCCTGCTCCCCCCTCCCCTCCTCCTCCTCCTCCTCCTCCTCCTCCTCCTCCTCCTCCTCCTCCTCCTCCTCCTCCTCCTTCTCTTCCTCCTCCTCCTCCTCCTCCTCCCTCCTCCTCTCCTCCTCCTCCTTACCCCATCCCCCTCCTCCCTCCTCGTTAGCTTGCCCCTGCTGCCCCTCGCCCCCTGCCCCCCCCCCTCCCCCCCCCGGGGTCTTCAGCTTCACAGGCGCCCGCAGCTTCTGAAGCTCCTCTGCGGGGGCCCAGCGCCGCACGTCACTCGCGCATGGCTGGTCATCGTCGTCGTCGGCGTCGGTCGTATTCTTTTCTGGGGGGAGGTGGCATGGGAGAGGAAGAGGAGGAGGGGGAGGAGGAGGATAACGGAGGAAAAGCGAGGAGCGGAAGGATGGAGGAGGAGGCGCAGGGCGAGGAGCCGGATGATGATGATGATGATGATGATGATGATGATGATGATGATGATGATGATGATGATGATGATGATGATGATGATGATGATGATGATGATGATGATGATGATGATGATTGATGATGGTGATGGTGATGGTGATGATTATGATGATTGGTGATGATGATGGTGATGATGATGATGATTGATGATGATGATGATAATGATGATGATGATGATGATGATGATGGTGATGGTGATGGGGATGGGGATGATGATGATGATGATGATGCTGATGATCGTGATGATGATGCTGATGATGATGATGATGATGATGATGGTGATGGTGATGGCTGATGTTGATGTTGATGATGATGATGATGATGATGATGATGATGGTGATGCTGCTGATGATGATGATGCTGATGCTGCTGCTGATGCTGATGACGACGATGACGATGACGATGACGATGCTGATGACGAGTTTGAGGCTCATGATGGTAGCGATGATGACGGTGGACGGCGATCACGCAGCAGATGTTGGGTGCACGGTGGAGAGTGGGGAGCGGAGGACTTGCGCGGCGGAACCCTCGGCTCGCCTGATCAAGCTGACGAGGAGGAGGGAGCGGCCCGTGGATTGGGAGCGCGGTCCTGGCTGGAGGAACAGGTGAGAGAGGAAAGGTGAGGACCGGCACGTGGATTTGGAGCGCGGTCCTGGCTGGAGGAGCAGGAAGGGAGAGAAAAGGGGAGGAATATCGTGTTTCCTCGAACGAAACGCCCGAAAACTCGCTTCCTCTGCCAATATCGCCCCACTGGATGCCACAGAATCGATGCACGGGGATGGGAAGAAGACAGAGGAGAGGATGGTGGGCGGAAGCGACGGGATACTTCAGAACACCTGGAACACCGCACAGGGCAACCTGCGATAGAAGAGCAGTTGCAAGCAACCTGACCTTGGGAACAAAGGTGGGGGGGAAGCACGGTGGATGAGGGCCTTGGGTCCCGACACCAGCGCGGTCGAAGGGCCCGAAGACCGGACCTCGCGACGCCACGCGGAGTATGCCGTGGATCCAGGGGGATCCCAACAGCTCTCTGTGCGCCGGAGGTGTGTCGGTTCTTCCGTTCTTCCCTCCCCTCTTCCAAATCCCCCCGTCTCCAACTAGGGCCGAAGACCGGACATCGTGAAGCCAAGCGGAGTACGCCGTGGACCCAGGGGGGTCCCAGCAGCTCTCTGGGCGCCCGTGATGCGACAGTTCTTCTGCTCTTCCCTCCCCCCTCCCAAGACCCAGGTCTCCCCTTAGGTCGGCCATGTCCCCCTACAGGCGGGTTTTGGGCGAAAAGTTAAAATTACCCTGGCGAAGTACCCAACCCTTGCGCAATGCGGGGCATAAGTACATCAGGTTTGCTACAACGGGGGCGATGACGTAACATGGACGCATGTGGTTTTGCGAGCAGCAATCGGAAGGCTCGCAGGCCCCCGATCAAGATATAAGGGCGTCGTAGTGGTTACTAACGCAGCCCCCCACAAGGACGCCGAGGTCTCGCTCAGGTTTCCGCGGTGCCTCACTCCGCTCGACCCGCCAGCAGCCCTCGAAAGTGGCGACAGTGACGCAGATCGCAGCCCCCCAGGGACGGCGAGGTCTCGCTCAGATCCCCGCGGTGCCTCCGCTGGACCCGCCAGCAGCCCTCGAAAGTGGCGACGGTTTTGCAGACCGCAGCCCCCCAGAAACGGCGAGGTCCCGCTCAGATACCCGCGGTGCCTCAGTCCGCTGGACCCACCAGCAGCCCTCGAAAGTGGCGACAGTGTCGCAGATTGCAGCCCCCCAGGAACGGCGAGGTCCCGCTCAGATCCCAGCGGTGCCTCAGTCCGCCGGACCCACCAGCAGCCCTCGAAAGTGGCGACAGTGTCGCAGATCGCAGCCCCCCAGGGACGGCGAGGTCCCATTCAGATCCCCGCGGTGCCTCAGTCCGCAGGACCCACCAGCAGCTCTCGAAAGTGGCGACAGTTTCACAGATCGCAGCCCCCCAAGGATGCCGAGGTCTAATCTGAGTCTGCGCGGGGCGTCACTCCGCTGACCCCCTCAGCAGCCCTCGAAAGTGGCGACAGTTTCGCAGATCGCAGCCCCCCAGGGATGGCGAGGTCTAATCTGAGTCTGCGTAGGTCGTCACTCCGCAGGACCCGCCAGCAGCCCTCGAAAGTGGCGAAAGTTTCACAGATCGCAGCCCCCCAGGGATGGCGAGGTCTAATCTGAGTCTGCGTAGGGCGTCACTCCGCTGGCCACCCCAGCAGCCTGCGAAAGTAGCGACAGTTTCACAGATCGCAGCCCCCCAAGGATGACGATGTCTAATCTGAATCTGCGTGGGGCGTCACTCCGCTGGCCACCCCAGCAGCCCTCGAAAGTGGCGAAGGGCGTTGCGTTGAAGAGGGGGGGCCGGGTGCTACAATGCCCAGGATGCCCCAAGCAATAGAGAAGCACGCTCCGGTGCGTCCCGGGCTAGTCGATGCCGCGGATCTGTGTGGGCGCTGGGCCCGCGGCGCTTGCGACTCCTGTCCTGGGCCGGGGAGCGGGCTCCCGGAAAGGCGAGATTATCCAGAGTTGCCAAGATTTCCGTTCTTCGAGGCTCCAAGAAAAGGCTCCAGGAAGGGCAAGACTTCCATTTCCTCGAAGTAGAAGCAACATTTTCGTTCTTCAAGGCTCCAAGGAAAGGCTCCAGGAAAGGCGAGGCCCTAGGAAAGGCGGGGCCCTAGGAAAGGCAATATTTCCGTTCTTCAAGACACCTGGGGCTCGAAGGTCCTCGCGGAAATGACCCCGCGGACTGGAAGGCCGCCATTCGTCGCAAGTCCAAGCAAGCATTAATCCTTAATGGAAGCCTAGTCCCTTGCTTCAAAATGTTGCAAGACACCTGGGGCTCGAAGGTCCCCTCGCGGAATCGACCCCGTGGACCACAAGGCCGCCCCTCATCGTAAGTCCAAGCAAGCATTCGTCCTCTATGGAGGCATGTTCCCTCGCTTCAGGATGTTGCCATACTCAGTTCATGCTGCTTTCGTATGTCCACCGCTAGGTTCATTCCGCCCAATGCGTGGTTCATCTGATGCAATATGTGTTCCATACATGTTGTATGCTTTCTATTTCCTGGTAGCTCACATTCAAACTTCTGCTTCATTGAAGGCGCACGCCATATTTCAAATCTCCACCGCCAGGTACGAGGTTTGCGCCTGCTTCGGGCGTCTCCACCTTAGGGGGCCATCTCCCAATACAGGGTTTTCGATCCGAGCCGTTTCCACACAATCCCAGGGCACTCAGGGGGCCCACAAAAGCTACGAAAGCGCGAAATATCACGGGGCACGTTTCCCTGAAGACCCGTTCGCGTCATGGCGGTTGCTATGTGGCTACAATCCCTACCCCCACCAACCATCGATTCTCCTGAATCGATCAGAGGCGTAGGGTTTGGTTTTCGACACGTGTTCGACTGATTCCGAACCCTACCCTTAGGTCGGGCGTGTCCACCTACAGGCGGGTTTTGAGCGACGGATTAGTTCCATACCCCAGAAATGTCACCAAACAGCTTAATCATGCACGATAAATCGTCCCCATATTATTTAAAGTATCCTGGCGAAGGACCCAACCATAAGCAATTGTTCGTAACGCGTTGTGGGTGCCGCTTTCGGTACGCGTACGAAGCGCTGCCTTGGGTACGGGAACCGCATGCGAACTGCGCCACTGGGGCGGGCCTTCGGTGGAGCTCCCTATGGGGCCACGAAGCGCTGCCCTGGGCGGGGGAGGCGCATGCGAACTGCGCAACTGGGGCCTTTCGGTGGAGCTCCCTATGGGGCCACGCAGCGCTGCCCTGGGTGGGGGAACCGCACGCGAACTGCGCCACGGGGGCCTTCGGTGGAGCTCCGTATGGGGCCACGAAGCGCTGCCCTGGGTTGGGGAACCGCATGCGAACTGCGCCACTGGGGCCTTCGGTGGAGCCCCCCATGGGGCCACAAAACGCTGCCCTGGGTTGGGGAACCGCATGCGAACTGCGCCACTGGGGCATTCGGTGGAGCTCCCTATGGGGCCACGAAACGCTGCGCTGGGTGGGGGAACCGCATGCGAGAGCAACCACTGGGGCCTTCGGTGGAGCCCCCCATGGAGCCACGAAGCGCTGCCCTGGGCGGGGGAACCGCATGCGAGAGCAGCCACTTGGGCCTTCGGTGGAGCTTTCTATGGGGCCACGAAGCGCTGCTCTGGGCGGGGGGGGCCGCATGCGAGAGCAGCCACTGGGGCCTTCGGTGGAGCTCCCTATGGGGCCACGAAGCGCTGCCCTGGGCGGGGGAACCGCATGCGAGAGCAGCCACTGGGGCCTTCGGTGGGCTCCCCATGGGGCCACGAAGCGCTGCCCTGGGTGGGGGAACCGCGTGCGAGAGCAGCCACTGGGGCCTTCGGTGGAGCCCCCCATGGAGCCACGAAGCGCTGCCCTGGGCGGGGGAACCGCATGCGAGAGCAGCCACTGGGGCCTTCGGTGGAGCTCCCCATGGGGCCACGAAGCGCTGCCCTGGATGGGGGAACTGCATGCGAGAGCAGCCACTGGGGCCTTCGGTGGAGCTCCCTATGGGGCCACGAAACGCTGCCCTGGGTGGGGGAACCGCATGCGAGAGCAGCCACTGGAGCCTTCGGTGGAGCCCCCCATGGGGCCACGAAACGTGTGAGAGGTGTGCCGAGAGCAGAGGCAAGGAGGTGCGACCACCCCCACTGGGGCCTTCGGTGGAGCTCCCTATGGGGCTACGAAGCGTGTGAGAGGTGTGCCGAGAGCAGAGACAAGGAGGGGGAGGAGGGAGGAGTGGGAGGAGGAGGGGGAGGAGGGAGGAAGGAGGAAGGAGGAGGAAGGAAGAGGAAGGTGGGACGCGGGGCGCTGTCTCTTCAAAACGAGGACCCAACACTACAGGATGGTTGGGAACAACTATTTTCGAATATTTATCCTGTAGAGGGACACGCCCAACTTAAAATTGACTAAATGTTTGATCGGCGAAAATGCTAATCGGACTTCGCCGCCGAACCGTTGCCTTCCCCCACCTCCCTGGGTCTCCTCTCTTCGGGCCGCCGGCTCGCCGCAGCGTCCCGCCGCCTCGAGCGGCCCCTGCGGTCGGGATGGGGGGCGGGGGTTATGCTGCTCCCCTCGCACTTACAGACCACATCCCAGAAATAATTTCGAGCACCCCAAAAAGTGTCGAAGAGTGTCGAAACAGAGTCGGACGAGTGTCTCCCAGGGCCCGACACGTGAAAACCCTAGAGTTTCGATACTGTTTTGATGCTCGAAATTCGTTCTGGTGATCAAGGCTAAAGTAGGCTGGAACATCATAAAGGCGGGGGTCGAATCGCTGGGGTGCCTGGGGGACCAAGGCGCGCCTGTGCACATTACGCGGCTGTTGTCCGAACGGGCTGCTCCGCGAAGCGCACAAGTCACGAGACCGGCCCGAGCAAGCGAGCGCCACGACTGCTGCCTGTTGCCTGGATAACACCAGAAACTGGCCCCATGCTCGAGCAGCGCCGGGCGCTCGAGCATCCCGCCTACTCCTGGCCGGGAGCCTCCTCCCTGTGAAGGGCAAACAGCAAGAAGACACTTCTGGGGTTGCCCCTGTGTTTTCGAACCTTGATCCTACATCCACCCGCCAGTACAGTCTTCGTAAAGGTCGACCTCTCAATCGAGTGGCCTCGCAATCGCGTGTGCGGCAACGGGAAAGGCCTAAGAGAACCAGCTTGGAGCTCCGCACTATGATCCAAAACAGTAGGGCGAAGCCATGCAAGCACTTCCTTCTCGCGCACCCCCACCCACACTCTTGTTGGGAGCAACGGCGTACGTTCCTCCCTACGTTCCAGCAGCAGGGGACACGGAGGCGGATGAGAGGAACAACAAGGATTATATGAAAGACTTGTCGGGAAACAAATTGAAGAAGGCCTGCTGGTGGCGTTGAAGTAGTTGACCAAATTGAACAAGAGAAGGCGTTGAAGAAAGGCTTGTCCGGGAACATATTGAACAAGTTAAAGAATTTGAATAAGGGGCCAGAACGGGGAAACAGAAGATCTGGTCTGCGGATCGCCCCCCAAAGCTTGGAACATCGCGTGAGACAGCCTCCGATTGCACCACCCCCAAGCCTTCCGTCCGATCTGCCTCCCTCCTACCTCCTACTTCCCCCCAATTCTGGCAGGGCTGAACCTAATCGGTGTTGTTCGTTGTCGTTTTGTCTTCAGTTTCCCTCGTTTTGTCGTCAGTTCACCTGTACCGCAAAACGACGTCGAAACGAAAACGGCCCACGCAATCGCCAAAACACCGTTCGGGTCCAGCCCTGCCTTCTGGTGCCCCCCCCTCCCTCCTTCCATTCCTCCCGACGGAGGGAAAAAAAGGATTGAACCATGGAGACCGAGGATGCTCCAGCGAGGCCGTCCTGCTCCCCCCTGTCCGAAGCCCCCCTCCTCACGGAAGGCGTGATCTTCCACGACGGGGAGCGCCCCCCCCCCCTCGGGGAGGGGCGGCCCAAAGGGGGGCTGCCACCCAGGCGTGCGCCCCGGGGGGAAGAGAAGGAGCCGCCCTGCATCCCTGCAGCTGTAAGGACCGTGGAGGCGTGCTGCATGTGAATCGGCGGTGGACAAACCTCCCTTTTAGTAAACCACCCTTTAGTGAAAACGGCCTAGAACCAAGATCGACGGGCCTGGACCCGCAAAGATCACGGCCGCGACGCCTTCTCGCGAACCAAATCGACGTGTCAGGGTAGGAAGTCGATCAATCTCCGATTGAAACTACAAATCAAACACCCCGTCTTGAACACACGGCAACCTCAACCTCCATCTGTGTGGCCACTGCGCAGCTGCGCTTCGGAATGGGGCGTGTGGGGGGAGACCACGAAGCGAGAGCCCCCCATGCTGAGCCTCCGTGCATGCAACTGTTGGCACCCGTGGATGCGAGGGTGCGCGGCGCCGAGGCGAGAGCCGCGCTCTGAGAACGGCCCGCCATACCTCTCGCATGCGATGGAATAGGTCGTCTGTTCGTGCTGTCGGCCTGTGGCGTGCATGCCTGTCGAACTAAAAGGGGTAGACGGATGCATAGAAAAAGGCGGAGGAGCAAGGAGGGAAGAGGATGTGGAGCTGCGGGGGGAGCATCGGTGAGCGGAAAGGGTAGGATGGGGAAGATCGACGAAGAGACAAGACGAACTAACGACAATGCTATGCACAATCATCCTCCCCGGGAATCCGTCAGCAACCTGGCGCCGATGCTGAGCAAATAACTTGACGCCGATGCTGAATTCATGGCGAACAACAAATCCATCAGCACGACGATCCGTTCTTGTATGACGTGAGGCCGCCACGCAGTGGAGGGAGGCATAAGGGATTCCACGCAAGATCGTCAGCTGCATTCGCACGGCTCATCAGATTGACCATGACAAAGGCAAAGCGATGCAGACAACGTGCAACACTGCCGAAACGTTGCGGGAAGCCTGCATGAGTATGAAGGATTTGACCACAAGCAGAACCGAACATAATGTAGCACGCAACGCCGAGAAGTTGCGAAGCCCTCAAGCTTGCTTGTTTATGCCCTAGGCCAGGTAAGCCTTTTGCTGCTGGGACTCCGTGCTCAGCGGGAGTGCAATCGTCGTCAGGCATCCACCTCGATGGACTGATGGAGCGATGGGTTCCGCAGCTGATGGCTTCTATAGCCGCCCCCGCTGCCGCGACGCTGACATCGATCGCCCCACACTGGGCCGACTCAGACGATGGCAGACCTCGGCCCAGACCGAAACAGTCTGGAGAAAGTGCGCCTCAAAACGCGACTCCACGAACAAGGGCAGCAACTTCGCGCAAGCTCCCGCGCCGCTGCTGGAGTCGAGCCTCCCTCGGCCGCTCGCGACGCCTCCTGAACCCGAAGTTTGCTGTCGCGCAGCGCCGCATCAGCCAGAGAGGGTACAGTCGCAGAAAACGTTGTCTCCCCGAAGCGCCGCCAACCACCGGAGGGACCTGTCCAGCGGAACCCTCCCGCAACGCTGCGGCGACTCTGCGGGCGGCATCGGCGTCGTGACGCGCCGGGCGACGGAGAAACGGCTGCCCCTTCGAACCTCGCCGGGCGACCTGCCTGTGGAGATCCTCGAGCGGCACTACGGACGTCGCGTCGGCCCTGAACGTGCTCCGCCCCACTGCAGCCAGGAGGCGTTCCCGTACCGCGCGGCACCACGGCGGGCAACCCCGCGGACGGCGAGAAAGCAACCGCGCCATACTCGGGCGTTGGCAGAACTGAGTTTAGTGGGACCTGGCTTAGTGATGTGTACTGGGGGACGCCCCCCCCCGCCCCGTTCCACTGAGCGGAACTGCCTCCACCTGAAAAAACACCAGCTACGGCAGACCTGGTTTAGCGATTCTGGTCAATTCAGGGGCTTCAGGGCCCTATTACTAACCGGGTCCCCTTACATGTGGTCCTGGCTATACCCGACGTGAACGTGCTCCGCCCCGCTGCATCCAGAGGCGTTCCCGTACCGCGCGGCACCACGGCGGGCAACCCCGCGGACGGCGAGAAAGCAACCGCGCCATGTGTTTCAGTCGGGTATGTCCCCCTACAGGGAGATGTTGGACGAAAAATAAAAAATACCCAAGAAACGCTCCGAAATACTCGGAATACGCAAAAAGATCGTCCTCAGGCTACTTGTTGAGTATTTTTGAATATTCCCCCTGTAGGGGAACAGGCCCGACTGAACCACACGTGCACCGCGTGCCGAGTTCCTTTTAACCTCGACGGCCTGCCCAGCCTCAAACGCAGGCGGCCTCGCACACAGCTGCGGGGTCCAGCGGCTGCCACGCGCCTGGCGCGAGACCCTCCGCGCCCAAGCTGCACGGTGCTCTGGAGCGGCCCCGCTGCCAAGGCGCTGAGCTGGCGCTGCGTAGCATCCACAGTCGTCGCCGCTGGCACGTCGAAGACATGGGCAGCAGCATTGCGCCGCATGCGCACAACGATGGGCGCTTCGGCGTCTTCCGTCTAGGCCTGCAGCGCCGGCGCGATGAGCACCAGCCTCGCGTGTAGCCCGTCGGTGACCTCCACCGGGAGTGCTCGAGACTGCTCCTCCAGCTGCGCCATTTAGCCTGGAGACAGCAGATAGATCCATGTGCGCTCTCACGAGCCCGCCGCGCACTGGCCGCCTTCTCAGCTCTGCATCTCCTCGGGCCACCGGCGTGGCGACCCGTCCCGCAGTACACCTGCACGCTAGAGACCTCCCCGCTGCTGCCACCACAAGACATGATGCCAAGCGAGCTTGAGCAATGAGAGGAAGGAGAAGGTGGAGGATGAGAAGGAGCAGAAGGAGGAGCACAAGGAAAATCGAGGAGGGAGGGAATGGGCGAGGAGGAAGAATCGCCCTTCTTCTTGGAAGAGGTTGCCGTCAAAAGCGGCGCAGGCCTCGAAGAGCAACCTGTAGTTCCTGCCTCTCACCTGGCTGCCGGCGCCCTCCTCCTCCTCCTCCTCCTCCCTCCCTCCCTCCTCCCTCCCTCCTCCCTCATCACTCCTCCCTCCTCCCCCCCTCCTCCTCCTCCACCTCCTCCTCCTCCTCCTCCATACTCCGTAATTCTTCTCCTCCCTCCTCCTCCTCCTCCTCCTCCTCCTCCTCCTCCTCCTCCTCCTCCTCCTCCTCCCCCTCCCCCTCCCCCTCCCCCTCCTCCTTCTCTTCCTCCCCAAATTCCTCCTCCTCCTCCTCCTCATCCTCCTACTGTCTCTTCGATCCTGCTCCCCCGACCACTCTCCATTCTCCCCCTCCTCGGCCTGGTCCTTCCCCACTGCCCTCCTCTTCCTCCTGCTCCTTCCAGTCCCAACGCTGGCGGAGAGGAACCGCCTCTCCTCCTCGGGTCCTGTTCCTCCCTCCCTCTCCCTCCCAACCTCCTGCGCCCTCCCTCTCCTGGTTCTCGCTCCCTCTCCCCTCCCTCCAATCCCCTCCTCCCTCTCCTCCCCCCTCCAATCTCCTGCTCCCTCTCCCTCCAATCTCCTCCTCCCTCCCTCTCCTGCTCCCTCTGGTTCTCGCTCCTCGGCTCCCCGCTCTCCTGCCCGTTTCTGCCTGCTCCTTGGCCAGCCTTTCTTTGTCGGCCCGTCCCGTGGTCCAAGAGCTGCGGTGGCCCGCACTGCCACGCTGGCGAAAAGCCGCGCGCGGGCAGAAGACTTGCTAACATAGCTGGTGTACGACATCTTCTGGAGAGGAATATCAGAGCCCAAGACCTGTGATCGCCTCCTTCGCGGAAGACGAGGCCAACATGGGCAAGAGTGAAGGAGGATCGAACCAACGTAAAGCAAGGGGAGGGAGGTAAGAGGAGAGCTGGGGAAAGGCTGCATGAGGAGCGGAGTGTCAGAGCTGTGAACGGGAGGACATGTGAAATGGGATGATCAAACTTACGCAGATGGACAGGGAACAGGAGAGTGGTGATGATGATGATGATGATGATGATGATGATGATGATGATGATGATGATGATGATGATGACAATGATGATGCTGATGATGATGCTGATGATGATGACGGGATTGATGCTGATGATGTTGCTGCTGCTGCTGCTGATGCTGCTGCTGCTGCTGATGGTGGTGGTGATGAAGATGCTGATGATACTGATGGTGATGGTCATGATGATGGTGGTGATGCTCATGATGCTGATGCTGATGATGATGGCGCCCTGTACGAATCAACGCTGCCTCGGTGGGGGGGGCACCGCAACATTGCACTTCGCGCTGTGAGAACCAATGGCCAAACCATGAAACATCGCCACACATATGTATGTATGTGCATATGTACACATACATGTATACACGTGATCACTGCCTGTGTTGACTGGCTGCTTGCGCAACTGTGGCGATGACGAACCAACACCTCAACATACAACCGTGCAATACCATTGGCACATGCGGATACGATCTCCCGTGCTTCCCGCATCTTCTCGCATGACGTTTTCGGGCCCACGAGGGAAGGCACAAAGACGGACTCCGAGGGCCGCAAGAGGACCTCAAGACAGCCCAGAGATGCCGAAAGATCTCCCCAATGCGTCCCAGATGGCCTCAACACTGCCCAAGCGGCCCCCAAGACGCTCCAACAGTGTGTCAACAGGCCTCCCAAGAGGGCCCCAAGAGTCAAAAGATATTGACATGCCTTAGGTGTCTGAAAAATGTTTGCGTTCTCGTCGTTTCGGCTTCCCGAAGCTCCGAGACGCCCACGAGGCCTCCAAGATCGCCCCAAGATTGCCCCAAAGGCCCCAAAGAGGGCCCCAAGACAGGCCCATAGAGAGCCCCAAGACGGCCCAAGAGGGCCCTAAGACGGCCCCCTGGGGGGGGGCGCAGATTCGGGGGCGCGCAAACATGGATTAGCGATCCATGGATTCGGCACGCAGTCGTCAAATCCATGGATCGGGGGAGGTGCCCTCCTCGGCGGCGGAAGCCCGCGAGTTCCAGAATGGAAACGGGACCCGTCGCTAATCCACGCCCCCGTGACCCATGTTTGCGATCGCCTGACAGATGGGGGAGCCGGCCAGACATTTCGAGCCCTCGGCCCCGAGGGACCCCCAGGAGGACCCCAAGAGGCCCTGGGCCCCCAAGAGGCTCCCACCCCAAGAGGAGGAGGAGAAGGAGGAGGAGGAGGAGGAAGAGGAAAAAGAGGAGGAGGAGGAGTAGGAGGAGGAGAAGGAAGGACCCCAAGAGGACCCGGAGAGCGCTCCGAAGAGACCCGAAGAAGCACCCCTGAGAACTCTGACCCCACAACCCAGGCACGGTGGCGGGATGGGCCGAGGGCCTTTCGATACCCAATTTCGTCCAGTGCTTTCTGAGATGTGCTCTCTACATTTGTACTATGTACCCTCTCCCTCTGACCTTCGACTATCATGCCTAGCACTGGTCGCAAATACTCTACGTGTTTTCTCCACGATCCATGATATGTGCGCTCATTCTGACCCTGGTCGCAAACGCCCGGGAAAACTCGAGAACCTAAAAACACAGCCAGACCCCGAAACAGACACCCGGGAGACCACCCACCCACAGACAGCGGCCCGGAAACCAAAACCGCGGACCTCGGAACCCGGCCGCCCAACGAAATCGGCCCCACCACTTGCGTCCACCCTTGCTTGGCCCCTTCAGTGTAAGCACTGATGGGGGAACTACTCTCTGTCTTCACTTTCTGCTTCACATTTGCACGATGTCTCTCTCTCTCTCTCACTCTGCGTATGTGTGCATGCACATAAACTGATATGCAATCACTCGCTCCATCTCTCTCTCTCTCTCTCTTTCTCTCCCTCTTTCCCGCTTCACTCACGATGCGTTAACACATAATTCGCCGGCCCAACGGGTCAGAGGCGTGCTAAGATCTCCGGTAACTGGTTAACAATATTTCTAGGTCGCGCGCGCGGGGCGGCCCCTGGGGGTCCCCCGGCGAAAAGTACCCCGACCGCCGCCCGACCGCAGCCCGGCAACTACTACTCAGAGATGGTTATCCTCCTGGGTGTGGCTTCTGAGGCCCCCCAGAGCTCGCCAAGAGGGCCCCAAGAGGCCTCCAAGACAGCCCAAAAGCGCTCCGAGTCACTGAACGAGCGGTTCAAAACACCCAAGATGGCCTTCATACGGCCTTCGAGGCCGCCGAGAAGCCCCACGAGAGCCTCAAGAGGCTCTCCAAGAGGGCTCCAACAAGCAAAATTCGTCCCATTCTCTAGGGGAAACATGCATGTTTCGCATATGCGTCGTCTGGGGTTCAAAGCGTCCAAACGTGCCCAAGAGGCCCTTAAGATCGCCCCAAGACGGCCCAACAAGCCACCAAGATAAGCCCAAGAGGGCCCCAAAACAGAGCCAGAGACCTCCAAGATGGCCCAAGACGCCTCCAAGACGGCCCTAAGAGCGAGCCCAGACGGGGCACCCGAACGGACATTTCGAGCTTTTGGCCCGGAGAGGTCCCCAGGAGGCTCCAAGAGGCCGCCAACACGCCTTCAAGAGGCCCACGGAGGCCCCCAAAAGGCCGTCAATAGGCCCTCAAGAGGTCCCCCAGAGGCTCCCAAGAAGCTTCGAAGAGGCTCCCAAGAGGCCCTCCTTGGGGCCCTCTTGGGAGCCTCCTGTGGCCTCCTTGCGCCTCTCCTAAGAAACTCTGAGACTCTGTGAGGCCCTCCTTGGGCCGTCTTGGGGCTCTCTTGGGCTGTCCTGAGGCGCTCTGAGGTCGTTTTGAAGTCCTCTTGAGAGCCTGTGGAAACGTTTAGGGGCCGCCGCTCCCTGCAGCTCCGCACTGCCGACGACCTCTCGGCCAGGCCAACGCGGTGTCCAATATGGGCCGGCGGAATGAGCGAAGCGATCAGATAAACCATAAACTCACGACGTCTTCTAGTCTATATAGCATACGTGTAAAATAATAGACTCAATTCTGCTATCCTATCAACTGTACTCTCTACGATATGACCTGTACTTTTCACGATCTACGGCCTACTCGATCATATGGGCCGTAACCGAATAGACCTGGGTACTTGACCGCGACCAAGAACTCGGAGACTCGGGGACCTTGTGACGCTGGGGACTCCAGACCTGAAACCCTGTGCTCCGGAGAATAAAAGGTACGCCATCCCTCCGACCTCAGAGTTGATTATCCTCGGCCAATACAGATTGGGTCGGGGGAGAGGGGCGGCAAGGCCGAACTTTATCATCCCAGGGGAAAGTTGCGAATCGGAGTTGATATCTTCTTATGTTGACTAGCAGCATCATCGCAAACGTCTGGCATGCCAATGAGGGCATCAAAATTTCAGCTTTCGCAAGTCACGAGCGCGTGGCAGGGCAATGGGATTCTCATCATTTCAACTTTCCCAATTCACGAACGTGTAGGCTATGAGATTCTCACTGTCTCAGCCCTTCACGAGTCAGGAACGTGTAGCAAGGCCAGGGGATCTCAACATGTCAGCTTTCCCAAGTCACGAACGTGTGGCATGGCCGTCAGATTCTCCACATTTCAGCTTTCCCAAGTCACGAACATGTGGTAGGGCAATGGGATCCAAAGAGCGCGTGCCAACTTTAGCAAATGAACGAACATAAAGCATCCCGCGTCCTGGCTCGGGTGATATCTTCATTGGAAATGCAATAAGAAAAAACAATAATAATGAAGTACGAACAATAATACTATCAATAAGACTGGTAATACTTTAGAAGACGAAAAACCGTTAATGATAAGAATAAGAGGGATAATGATAATAATAACAAGAGTAGGACTAAGAGTGAGAGTACTAATACGAACAAGAACAATTAATCATCATTCGAATTATAAGGTGGACAAAAATGATGATAATCGTACAGCTCGTAATGATGATAATCAGAATCATAATGAGAACAAAAGTTTTTTCTCATTATCTGCATCATCCTCTTCCTATACGATTTGTATTACCACCCCTGTTGAAACATTGTTCTTTCCCGGTCGTCGTGTGGGGTCGTGCATCCGAGGATAT